AAGTGGGATGCATTGGCACGCGCCTCGGTAGCGTATTGCTAAGGTGGTCCCTGCTGCCACTACTGGGTACAAGGTGCTGCAGGCAAACCTTCAGCGTAGTAAGCTGGCCACGAATGAGCTCCTGATAGAGGCTGAAAAACGCGGCTGCGCCGTGGCTCTGCTCCAGGAGCCCTACATAGGACGAGAAGGGAGAATGCGGGGATACCAGGGCGTAAGGGTCTTCCAGAGCGCTGACAGAGGAGAAGGGAAAATAAAAGCGGCAATTGCCGTCTTCGACGCAGACATAGAAGTCACGCAGTACCCGCAACTCACCACACACAACATCGTCGTGGTGGGAATCCGAACCCACGCCTGGAGGATCACGCTGGTTTCCCTTTATTTCGAACCAGAAACTCCCCTAGGGCCATACCTGGAGCATCTCCGCGGCGTAGAAAGCAAGCTGGGGCCTATGGGGCTCATCGTGGCGGGCGACGTAAATGCCTGGAATATCTGGTGGGGAAGCAGCAGGACCGATGACAGAGGAGAGGAAGTGCTTGGAGCTCTCGATCAGCTGGGACTGCAAATACTTAACAGAGGAGAAACTCCGACCTTCGACGTGGTGAGGGGACACCGACGCTACACTAGTTGCGTCGATGTCACTGCCTGCACGGCGGACATGCTGGTGTTGGTAGACGGCTGGCGAGTATTGGAGGACCTGACGGGATCGGATCACAACGGCATTGAGTTTAAAAGAGCGCTCGCATCGTTCGACCCCAAGAAGGCCCCCGGTCCGGACGGCTTGACGGCGGACATCTGTGCGCAGGCCGTCAGCAATGACCCCGCCTTGTTCCTGGGACTGCTAAACAGGTGTCTCGCTTGCCAATACTTTCCTCGCTCATGGAAGGAGGCTACCGTGGTAATCATTCGAAAACCCGGAAAGGATTCCTACACCGCCCCAAAATCATACAGGCCGATTGGGCTATTGCCTGTACTAGGGAAGGTGTACGAGAAGATGTTGGTGGCCCGACTCAAGTTCTACACACTACCCAGGATGAGTACTCGCCAGTACGGCTTCATGCCACAGAGGAGCACCGAGGACTCCCTCTACGACTTGGTTCAGCACATCCGAACAAAGCTGGATGAGAAGAAGCTGATCGTGATCGTGTCTCTGGACATAGAGGGAGCCTTCGATAGCGCATGGTGACCAGCCATTAAGCTAAGACTGGCTGAGGAAAAGTGTCCGATAAACTTGAGGAGGGTCATGGACAGCTATCTGAGCGAGAGGAGTGGCGGGGAGGTACTTGGATGTGGAACACCGGCGGAAAACCGAGAAAGGCTGCGTGCAGGGGTCCATAGGCGGGCCCATACTATGGAATCTGCTTCTGGATCCTCTGCTTAGAACGATGGAGCGAGAGGAGTATAGGTGTCAGGCGTTCGCGGATGACGTCGTGATGGTGTTCGATGGGAACACGGCTGCCAAAATTGAGCGGCAGGCCAATGCCGCCCTCGAATATGTCCGGGCGTGGGGTGTCAGAAATAAACTCAGATTTGCGCCGCATAAAACCACGGCTATGACCGTAACGCGAAAACTGAAGTACGACACACCACGCCTGAGGATGGGCGGCACCGACATAACAATGTCGAGCGACATCAAGCTGGTCTCACGATCGACAGCAAACTGACGTTTAACATTCACGTTAAAAACGTATGCGCCAAAGCTGTCGGCGTGTACAAGCAGCTGACCAGAGCGGCTAGGGTCAGCTGGGGTCTCCATCCGGACATCATCAGGAGCATATACACTGCTGCGGTGGAGCCTATACTCCTCTATGCGGCGGCAGCATGGGCACCCGCGACCAACAAGCTGGGGGTCCGGAAGCAGCTAAACGCGGTCCAACGAAGCTTTGCACAGAAGCTCTGTCGAGCATACCGTACGGTCTCCCTGAACTCCGCTCTGGTGCTGGCTGGTGTACTATCCCTCGATATTCGAATCAGGGAAGTCTCGACCCTATATAAGGCCAAGAGGGGAGTGCACCAGTCGATACTTGGGGATCGGGAGGTTGAGAGGATGGCACCGGCAATGGAGAGCCCCCATCCCAGTGAACAGCATGAGATGGAGTTGCGACACCTGGTAGACGAGGAACACTACCAAAGCCACAGCAACTACGCTGTGCGCATATTCACCGACGGTAGCAAAATTGAAGGGAAAGTCGGAGCGGCGTACTCAGTATGGACCCAGGATACAGAGACCAAATCCCGGAAATTAGCGCTATCGTCACACTGCACCGTCTACCAGGCTGAACTGCTGGCCATAAAAGAGGCAATGGGGGAAATCCTTAAGGGGAGGAACAACTCGCATGCCGTCTACAGCGACTCTATGGCGGCGCTCCAAACTATTGCGAACCACAGTGCTCATCACCCCTTGGCTGTAGCAACGAGAGACGCTCTGCGCCGCTGCGCGAGCCGGGGCAAAAGCGTCTCTCTATTCTGGATAAAAGCCCATGTGGGACTGGAGGGCAACAAAAGAGCGGACGTGCTGGCGAAGGAGGCTGCCCTGGGGTCAAAAAAGAAACCAGACTATGATCGGTGCCCGGTCTCATTTGCCAAAAAGATGATACGTCTGGAGTCTCTTGGCGAGTGGGATCATAGGTACAGAACTGGCACCACGGCGTCGACGACAAGGCTGTTCTTCCTCAATGCCGTAGAAGCTTACGCAACTGTGAAGAAGCTGACAATGACCAAAGAGCTAGCACAGGCGTTGACGGGGCACGGTGGGTTCTCGGAATACCTAGAACGCTTCAAGTGTAAAGAGAGCCCATCGTGCGTCTGCGATGACCGGGTCACAGAGTCCCTCCCTCATCTACTGTTGGAGTGTCCGCAACATGAGCGGGCGCGGATATCCCTGGAGACGAAAATTGACCAAAAGGTGCTACAGGTCACACTACCGAGTCTAATCAGGGACAAGAAATGTAGGGAGGACTTCATCGACTTCATAGTGATGGTAGTGAAGTCCGCAAACGCCAGAAACGCCGCCAAAATTAGTAATGACGAGGCTCTTCGTCGGGCATCACAAAGTGCTCGTAGTTCAGACCATCCTGAAACGGAAGACCGCTGAGCCTGCATAACCGACCCATGTCATGCTACGCATGGCAGGGCGCTTAAAGCGAACACGGACGTACAAAAGACGGAGAACACGAGTACAAAATTGTGATACCCCGACGGAGAGACGAAGAACGGGGCGCTTAGTATATATATTCGAATAATATATGACAGTAGCGTCGACGATATTATTATATTTATATATTATATTTATTATAAAGTTATTATATTATTATATCAGTACAATAAAAAAATGAAAATTGGCATAAATACCTACATTTGAAACAGAATAGGTCTCTGATCATGTCAGAGGAGCAACTCGGCACAGCAGGAGGGGTTTTAGCCGGTAAGAGTCCGGTAGTACTCACACCTCTCTATTCGTGGGGAGGTGTGAGTCTCCATGAGGATTTCCCCTCCTGCTGCAAAAAAAAAACAAAAAAAACCTAACCTAACCTAACGCTTTATCCCATGATCGTTTTTTTTTTCAAACGTCTGTAAAAGTCTGACTTTTTGAGGCTTATAATTTTTTGTACGGGTATTGGTATTCGATTCTAAATAATATGTCTATCTTAATGATCAGACGTTTAATTATTTCGTAATATTTACCAAATGAGTGTAAAAATGAGTATCTAATATATTTAAAAAAAAACCTTGTTACTTGTAAACTAAGTATTATTATGTTTCCGGATCAACTAGTAAATGAATAAAATGTTGCGCTGCTGACCACATCGTACTATGCTTTGTTGATCGACACGCGCTTGTCATTACCTAACTAGTACAGACACGCAGTCGTGATGTCTGTAATCAAGTCCTGTGACAGTTGACTGGCGGTGATGTGCGGTCTACATTTTGAACAATACTAACACTATGAATATTTCATACAATAGTCATCGGCTTCGGAAACTATTAAGTCTTTACGTAAGGTATCGTATAATTTTAAACTTTGTTATATTGCTAGTAGCAAAATAATTGTTACCCTTCAGACAATTACTTCTGAGGATCATAAATGCTTCATTGGAATATTAATTTCTCACGTAGATATATATATTTGCTAGGAAATGTTCTAATGGACGTTATTGCCCTTTACATCGCACCAATAGCAACTCATGTGCCTTTACCGTAAGTAGTAGACTACTCTGCGACCATTACGAACAGTCGCGTGGCTAGGAACCTACAAATCTACATAATATATATATAAGATGTAAGTACTTCCTGACGTATCGGTACTATAGTAGTATTACTGGTCTGGTGGCAATGTGGTAATAAGTGAGGTTGGTGCAGGTCGGTGTGTGCCAGCAGCGTGGCGCCGCACGTGCGGTGCTTGCGGCGCGTCGGCTTCTGCCGCTGGGGCGCGGCGGCGCGCGCCAACCGGCTGCTGGCCACTGCAGCTCGCTCCTATCACGTGTTCGCACTAGCAGCCACTTCTACCTATGTCTTGCAACAGCTTATTTATGCTTATCAGGCCAGTCGTTTTATTATTATAATTGACTCCAATAACGACGCATTGTTATTAGTGTCTTTACACAAGTAAGCTTACACCTGAAATTAATGTCAATTTCAAGCCAATTCATTCAATAAAATCTCAATAACTATTCAATGTCAACACGATACATCGAAGCTTTGAAATTAGCATTTAGAACACAGAATATAAAGCCAAACGCAAAACTATTTAGTTCATTCAATATCCACTTAAATCCGATGCAATGTAGCGCGAGTGTTACGATTGAAAAGTACGAAACGTTTGTACAATGACCATCAATTGGAATTGGTTTTCAGAGTAAGCTTCAGGTGTCGAAGATTCAGTGATAAAAATTCCCTCTTTTGTATTTTATGTAGTTATTTGTAATTCGGATAAAAAGTAAAAACTAAACATGTCCATTATTATTACAAAGAAAATCCGATAACCCTTTAAAACCGATCCTCCTTATGAAAGTTGTAAATTCCGAAGCGTCTCCGGTAGCTTTTGAGTGTTTTGAGCATTAGAGGTTTTTTTTTTAAGGGGGAAAATCATCGAATGACTGCTCCCGCCTGGGTGAGGCGGGAGGGAGTGTCAGACTCTTACTGACTAAAAACCACCCCGTTCCTTCTCCTGCACGTCCAACGTTACCCGTTAGGTTCTCCGCGACAGCATTAGAGGTTAGGTTAGTGTTAGTTACCTTGTCTTGCGAGTAGGTACCTACTTAGTAGTATGTGGTAGTATCTGAATGTCTCAACAAGGACCATAATAAAAACTATTACGATTCTCATTATTTTTTTAACAACGTGTTTTATTTTATTATACAAAGTTATCGTTTTATATATTTCACAAATACTATTAGATATAATTAGATACTAGCTTTGTATGCCATTCTCATGGAATTGTTTACATTTCCTAGGATATACATAATGTGTATTCCTATTAAATAATTATTAAAGCAATAATTATATTAGACTGTTTTTTTCATAAAATTCCTAGATCAAAGAGTCAACGTGCAGACCGTGCAGTCAAATTAAAATTGTATTATATATGGTTTTATGTGAAAATGTAACTCGTTAGTTCACAGGTACTTGTGGTAGGCAGCGTAAGTTACTGTGTGGTGAATTAAATTTCCCTTGCTTGTGCAGGAGAGAAGCGACATGGACAAGCTGTCGCAAGTGATGTTTGTGTTGTTGTGCCATGTCACATGCGTCGCCAAGCAAGTCGCCTTCCACGTGGACGCAGACCGAATCGATGAACTCATCGCGCGGCTGGACGGTGAGCGCAAGTGAGTGAGAGGTCGGGGCTCCGCGAGTGATGCGAATGTTGAGCGGGTGTGGGGCGTGTGTTGCAGAGCCGCTGCTGAACCAGTGCGCGGGGCCACGCGGCGCGCTACTGCACGGCACTGCGCGGCGCGCGGCGCGACTGCTTCGCGTATATTCCGGCTGCGCAGTGGCCACCTGCGTGCTATGGATAGTGTTCCCCGTACTCTACAGGATACGGGGCATCTCATTCGAGTTCCCCTTCTGGGCAGGCGTTTCTTACGATCATAATGTTGTGTGAGTCTAAAAAATATTGATTTTACGGTTGGTGCAGTGTGACTCGCAAATCCATGCAGGTAGGGTTGGAAGATGGAGCTGGTTAACAAGAAAACATTAAGGTAGGTTTTTTACAGCAAGCGAGCAGACGGATTACTTGATGGTAAGCAGTCGGTGCCGCCCATGAACACCCGCAACATGCGAGGAAAGTTTCAACGACTTTCAGTTGTTAAGTGAAAAAATGGACGTGGTCAAATATCGATATTTCATTGCTAACGGCGGCAGTTGAGCAGTTTAGTTTACAGGTCTTCCATACGATCGGAGTTATCGGAAGTAACTTTTACCGATTAAAAAATAGGAGGAAGTTTTTCAGGTACCTACTAAGTATTTTCGAATGTTTTTTTGTTTCTTCAACGATTACTCAGCCGATTTTGGGCTGACTTTAAAAATTACTTTTTGTTTAAAAGGTTAATCCCTATTTTTTCGGAATCCCATCCCACAAAAAATATAACTCAATGGTCACAAAATTGTAAACACTTAAAATAAGGTGCGCGCCAAAACAATTATTCTTCTGTTGTCTAGTGCATTTATCGAAGAAGGTTAAAGGCTATAAGACATCACGTTATGACCAATAAAGCCGAACAGAGCGATTGAAACCGCCCGGCAGCAGATAATTTTAAATAAATTGAGTTGGTTTCAGGTTTGGCGCAGTGCTGCTATACTCCTTCTATACAACCAATTTAGTAGCGATCGGTAACACGACAATGGATGCGTTCATGGCTACAATACTGGATCAATGTAAAACTCAACTTAGAATATTGAGGTATGTAAGATGGTCCTCGTTATTGTGACGGGGTGTACAACGTGAGCCAGCGAGCTACGTTGTGTTATACATAATTATATTTACTTTATACTTTTACATACAAATAAAGTGTGTGGAAATACTTTATTTTTAACCTTTACCACGAGGTGGGGAATACATACATGATACTTAACTATTTAACGGTATAACCTAAAAAAGATAATGGTAAACGATTTATAATTCATCATCATCAGCCTAGAAGTCCCCACTACTGAGCAAAGCCTCTTCTCATACGGAGAAGCTTTGAGCATTAATCGAGAAATTATAAGTCCAAGTGAAAACCTCGCCTTACCCGCGTGGGATAAGAGATTGGATGATATTTCCTCCTCAAAAAAAAAGATAAGTTTCCTCACGATGTTTTCCTTCACCATTTTGTCTGTGGTGTCTAAATAATCTTAGAAAGTATGTACGTACATATACGTAACTCGGAAAAGTCACATTGGTACTTGCCGTTGGTAGGTTTGAACTCGCACGCTCGTGCATGAAAAGCAGGCGTCTTAACCTCCGGCCTCCGGACCCACATGACAATTGGCGATGAAATTGTATGAAAATTGTAGGACTTTTTTGTATAGGTCATTAAACAAACTAGGTACTTACCCTAAAGTAAACATTAGTGAAAATGACAAGTAATGCCGAAATTGAAAAAGTAAATTAAAATTTACTTTTTTTTTCTTATTATTTTTCCTATTCAAACAAAATGCGTCAAAAAAAGTTGGCAACCCTACATACACTGGTAATGCGTTTACTCGTGCATTTTATTAATTAATATTATTCGAGCATTCAGTACTACTAGCGGTGTGCTCCCTCGCTCCTTTGTATCACTCATAAACCTTTGGTCTGGTTATTGTATTTTTTATTATTGACTTTATAACTGCAGTATCATTTAGCCTACTACCAAATTCTACAGAAACAATAAAATTATTTCTGTGCTTGGTTATATATATCTATATATATAAAAATCAATGCCACTTTTCGTTGTAATTCCATAACTCAAGAACGGGCTCACCTATCCAAACCAAATGCTTTATGTATTAGTAATACATGTATATACTACAGATTTAGTAGATGGTTTATGTGAAGTTTGCACAAAATCGGTCGAGCGGTTCCTCATTTGTCACATTTTTTGTAATAAATGAATTCAATAGAAACTTTTTTCACAGAAACTTTTTTGAAGTTTTGTTGACAGGACAAGCACGTTGTTATGTCATTCATGCCGTCAGTTCATTTTGGACGTGGTTTGATTAAAGCATATTATCAGCGATAAATTTCTTTTCACATAATTGCATTTGCAGTGCATTCATACAAACGGTGAGTCCTGAATTTATGTGTACTTTTCTAAGTTGCCGTATATGATTTCACATAGCATCATATGCGACAGAATTGGGTATGACCGCACCAAATCGTCCCATGCATGATTTGTTTGATCGTGAATTGCAACGTGAGCAGGAATTCAACTGTAATGATTTGCGTTTATTTGTACAATCGAATATAACCAAATTAAATATTCAGCAAAAACATGTATATGATACAATCATGCAAGCCGTTTCCAATAATGCAGGTGGATTATATTTTTTGGATGCACCTGGTGGCACAGGTAAAACGTTCGTTATATCATTGATTTTAGCGACTATTCGATCAGATCAGAAAATTGCACTAGCACTTGCATCTTCGGGAATTGCTGCTACATTATTAGAAGGTGGTCGGACCGCACACTCTGCATTAAAATTGCCATTGAATGTACAGGTGATTGAAACTCCAACTTGCAATATATCGAGAAATTCTGCTATGGCAAAAGTTCTGCGATTAACGTCAATTATTTTATGGGATGAGTGTACAATGGCGAATAAAAAATCACTAGAAGCATTCAATCGAACAATGCAAGATTTACGTGGTAATCAACAGCTTTTTGGTGGTGCTTTGATATTACTTTCAGGGGATTTTCGTCAAACATTGCCTGTCATTCCTCGATCAACTCCTGCTGATGAAATAAATGCCTGCTTGAAGTCATCAGTTCTTTGGAGATATCTACAAAAATTGACACTAAACATTAATATGCGTGTTCACCTACAAAATGATCCAGCTGCCCATGAGTTCTCAAAACAATTGTTAGAAATTGGTGACGGCAAAATACAAATCGACAGAACCAACGGATTGATCGCTGTACCGAACAATTTTTGTACAATTGCGCAATCGATAGATGAATTGATTGAATGTGTTTTTCCGAATATTGTTCAGAATTACAGAAATCATGATTGGTTGACAGAACGCGCCATTTTAGCACCGAAAAACATTCATGTCAATGCAATTAATTTTCAAATTCAAGCGAAACTGCCAGGCGTAGTCACGAAATATAAATCAATTGACAGTGTTATGAATCAAGATGAGGCAATGAATTATCCAATTGAATTTTTAAATTCATTGGAGCCGGCTGGTATGCCACCGCATTGCTTGAATCTGAAAGTTGGTTCTTCGATTATATTATTGCGAAATATTAATCCACCAAAACTGTGTAACGGAACCAGATTGGCAGTGAAAAAGTTATTGCCAAATTTGATTGAAGCTACGATCTTAACTGGTAAATCAAAAGGAGAAGTTGTTTTGATACCGCGTATACCTATGATTCCAACTGATATGCCTTTTGAGTTCAAACGTTTACAATATCCTGTGCGTTTATCATTTGCGATGTCCATCAACAAGGCCCAAGGTCAAACACTTCACGTTTGTGGTGTGAATTTGGAGGAACATTGTTTTTCACATGGCCAGTTATATGTTGCCTGTTCCAGAGTCGGTACCCCCAGCCGTTTGTTTATTTATGCTCAAAATGGAAAAACAAAAAATATTGTTTATCCAAATGTTTTGGATTAAGTGTGTTGTAAATAGCTAGCAATTGATTTCGATTTTAAATAAAATATTTTTTTGATTAAATAAATGAATTTGATGTTCCGATTTGTTTATTTTATTTCACTTTATACGTAGCGAAGCACGTACCGGGCCGCTAGTTATATATATATTTTATGTGTAACATTAAAATATACAAGTGCGTGTACTCATAGGTTGAACTTCGAAACGTTGCCGGAGAGGGCGCGCGCGCTGCAGCAGTCGGGCGGCGGAGTGTACGAGGCGAGCCTGCAGCGGCTCTTTGTGGACTGCCTGCTGCACTACAACATCATCACTGAGTGAGTACTCGCGCCCACGCACTGCACGCACTGCACGCTCTGCACGCCGCTCGACTCGTCGTAAACGACCAGTAGTTACAAGTCTATATCAATACAAATACAATGTACATAAAAGTCTACCGGTACCGAGTGACTGACTGACAGTGACAGACAACGCACAGCCGAATCTGCAGACCCTAGGACGCTGAAACTTGGTATGAATATTTAATATTCATTGGTAAGTGTAGGGGAGCACAAAGAGAGAGATTTTCCTTAAATCGCACGGGAACGGTAATAGCGGCAATCACTTATTTCGTCGAACCAAGTCGCAGGCAGAAAACTAGTTACTTTTATTTAATATTACAACGCAATAAAAACTTAAATAATATTAAAATTAACTATTACTAAATTAATAATAAAATATACATATACAACTTAAGATTAAAATTATATAAAAAAAAAAAACAAAAACAACTATTTACATAAAGCATCGAAAATTTCGTCCGCATCGACGTCTGTGGGGAAAGTACCCAGAAGGCTTGCAGCATTGCCAAGTTGTATGGCAATGCTTAACCTCTGACCGAGAAAAAGACCAGCCCTCAGATGTGTCAACCTGGCGTTTTGAAATGTTTTTGAATAATTTAAATGCACTCGGACCCCACGGACCTAGTGTCTCAACCCCAAACGGCTCAAAGATATAACTACCAGCAAGGTTGTTATACTTGCGCCGCTTGAGGTTTTCTGCAGAGGCAGCAGCCGAACCAGCACAACCCGCCGTTACTGGAAGATGAGAAGGTGCAAGGGTGTCGACGCAGGTTGCGTCCCAAACCAAAGACCTTCCCAGCTTCCAGGGCATAATGGACATACCGTCGGGTCTCTTACCATCGTCGCGTGCCAAACCCTTTGGTTCCAGAACAGCTGGCGCACCGGAGAAGATAAGAGCTCGACGGATAATGTCGTTAATGCTGGCGTGTCGAGATATCCGGCCCGCGCTTCTGCTACACGATAGGCTGTGGTGGCCGAGGTGGTCGACCATCTCACTGCATTGTCAGCGATGCTGAGTAACACAGGGTGCACCTACACGCAAGCAAGCAGCGTGCCGAAAAGTTGAGTCATTCAACATCGTGCCAATATTGAGTGACGGAAGTGCCTGAAGCCAGAGCCCTGATTCCCAATCACCCACAGCCAATAGGCGAGCTAAATCCGCAGGATTGGTGCTGGTATTAATTAGATTATTATACACCAACCTGCAAAGTGGCTCGTCCCATTGTCTCTGGGAGGAAGGGTTGACAGGCAAGGCAAACAATTAAAAGTTAATGAAGGAAAATAGTTTCTTTCCATTACAAAATACGCAACAGGAATGTGACTTACACATTAATTTAAAATAAAATATCAACTCACTTATTTAGATTCTTATATTACTGTCTTACTGTAAAACTGACGGTTATTATATTTATTTGCAAAATCATTCCTGTATTTATTTTATTGCCAATGTCCCTCGCGTCTTCTCAAACGAAAACATCTTTGTTCGTCGTCTGTATGCAAGTATGCATTAAGTATACTAATTGTATAAGTACGCGATATACTGCAACTACCAAATGTATGTTTATGCCTTGTTTACTAATAGATAATGTGATTCCTGAAGAAGGTTTAGGTGGATAATCCCTTTGTTGTGGGTATGACCACGCGGGTGAAGCGACGGGCAGAAAGCTAGTTAAAATATCAATGTTTTACGATGTGGTAGTAAGTATTAATTAATGTTATGTTTAAATCCAGTACCTGCACAGTCCTGCACGACGTGTTCGCCGTGCCGCTACTCATACAGTTTGGTGTGGGCGGCTGGATTCTGTGCATGGCCGCCTACAAGATAGTCAGCGTGAGCATCATATTGTCACACCACTGATCATTGGAGATACAACAAGACTGGTTCATAGCTGTTCATGCATTTCTTTTGGTTGCAGTTGAACGTGTTCAGTATCGAATTTGCATCAACGACGTTGTTCATCATCTGCATTCTGATCGAACTCTTCATATTCTGTTATTACGGAAATGAAGTAACAGTGGAGGTAGGTGCGGGTGAGTGGGTGCTGACGACACAGACAGTGCAGTCAATAGAAGGCGGGCGGTTCATGCGCGGAGTGTTGCAGAGCTCGCGCGTGTCGGAGTCGCTGTACAGCATGGAGTGGGCGCGCGCGGGGCTGTCGTTCCGGCGCTCACTGGTGCTGGTGATGGAGCGCGCTAAGCGCCCGCTGCGCCCCGCCGCCGGCCGGGTCATCCCGCTCTCACTCGACACATATGTCACGGTGATACTCCGAGATCTTAACACTTTGCTTTCACGTGCTACCTATTTATATCAATTATCCAATTTTATGTTGGATTGTGTGTTTTTCAGATTTTGAAGTCATCATATAGCTTCTATGCAGTTCTACGGCAAACCAAATAATAACAAGGAAGAAAAAAGCATTATACAAGTTGACAAAACTGCACACCATTTTAAAATAGTACTTATATTATTTATTTGTTTATTACCTTATTTATTTATTATGTATGTATTCCTTTAAAAATGTAATTTAATTTTACTTTTTGTATGTTCACTTTCAAAATAATCGGGTGACGCATGAGCAGACGGACCACCTACTGGCAAGCAGTGGCGCCGTCCAAAATCCAGGCACGCCGGTAGTACATACCATCAAACTTACAATTCCTAAAAGGATAGCAGCGCACTTGTAACTGCTGGTGTTTCCTTGCGAGTGTGCCGGTGTCGATGCCCGGCGTCGATTGCTTGTCATCAGGTAGATAATCGATCTGTTTGTTTCTCCATTCCACTCTATGCCATAAGAAAGTTTGCCTCTCTCACACTTAAAGTAACCCACGTGAGTAATGTAAACGGAATCAATAGTTATCTTTATCATTAGATTGTCTACTATTATCCTTATTTTAATGAGTGCTATCTGCGATCCTTTAATGTTCTTTTAAATTTGTTGTTATTCATTTAAATGATGTTTGAATATTAATTAAATACTGTGAATCGTTGTATTTTGTGTTCTTATTTATTCGACAAACGCCCAGTAAGTTAATTACAGAATAATATACTTTCATTCATTCATTTCATTATATTATATCTGATACAACATATATTATGCAGGCCTACACCTACACCGACCTGTTTTAAAAATTAATAATGTATCATCTGCAGAAAGCATCATCCTTAGTTCATACTGAATATAAATGGCAAATCATTTATATACTTAGACTAAAAAGAAAAAGGGACCCAATATTGAACCTTGAGGAACGCCCATATTCATCCCAGAGTCCTGTGAGTTAATACCGTTAACATGAACCTTTAACTGTCTTTCTTCTAAATAAGATTTCATAAGATGGAGCGCAGCGTTTCTAATCCCGAAGTCACCCAATTTCAGCAAAAGTGTCTCGTGGTCAACGCAAGCAAATGCTTTTGAGAGGTCACAAAAGACACCAATAGTATTCTATGCTTCCTCTACCAAATATTTCCTTCATTAAAGTGACACTGGCGTCAGTTGTGCAACGACCTTCAGTGAAACCGTATTGTTGTTGGTGAAAGATAGAATGTTTATTAAAATGATGGAGCATCCGAGACAGCATTAACTTTTCAAACACTTTGCTTTGCACTTTGCCGGCAAAACAGACACTGGCCTAAAGAGTGGGATAACTTTACTATATTTCATTAGGTCAGGTTCTTAAGCAAGTTTGCTGATGACTTTAACTGTTTAGTTGTGTGATAGGGATGTTGGTAAAAAAAATTTAAACTCCTGGGCTACATCTACGTTTGATGAAATCTGTCATCTGTCAATCGGTAATTAATTTAAATTCTGAATTTCTTTTCTCTCTTTTCCTATCAGTGTATAACTTTCCAAGTAGTTATTTTATCATCAGACGATTTTATTTCATTACTAATTTAAAGACGTTTCGCGACTCTGCATACTATTCTAAAGTTTTTTTTAATAAGATGTTGCATACTGACTGATGAAATTGGGGGTCGTTGTTGTACGGTTTCATTCCATAGAGTTCAAAAAGTATTTCCTTACTCTTACGAATACCTACAGTGGCCCAATCGTTAAATACAAATTTGGTATGAATATCTTTATATTTTATTGGCAAAATATTGTTAAATTCTGTTCACAAATGAACATGCCATGTCAGCGAGATAATCCTACGTGATAAAGTACTGAAACACATACCTATTAATTATGAAGTATACAACTAAGAAAACATCACGTACTAACGTACATAATAGTTTTTATTACTGAAATGTGAGGTTTCAGGAGTCAGGACACAGGAACAGTACAGGTGAAACACCTGGATTTTTTATTTTTTGACATCACGAAAATAAATTAATACCAAAATACACATACTTAACTTAGGTACTAAATAAATTCTGATGACATTTATAACAGAATAATTATCGCCTCGTCGAAAGATCTTCTCTTTCTTACTCTGTTCCCTTAAACGCAACTTAATTTAGGGTGGGCAAGAAAAGAGATAGAAGCTATATTTTACTGCGCAAGAGTGACCAAAGAAATTTTACCTCTTTCTCAAGTAACAGTTAGGTACTCAATAAAAATGTAGTCTCATGTGACTTGATTCACCATTCTATCGAATTTGCAAAGTTGTCGAAAGATTTTTATGGTATGTGACACATCATTAGCAACAATATTGCCGACGAATGCTGCGAGGGAATCATGAGTACACAAACGAAGTTATTTTAGAGACCCTCGCTGATTTCCAACATATTGTTTAGCAACATAATGATGACGTCATGTCGCGTGATAAGTGTTGCCTAGTGGATACGAGGTTTTCAGGTGCGCTTTGGGTACCTACACTAGATGAATTTCAGTAAGTCCAAAGAAATTTTTCGAAATGTAGTTTCGATGAAAAATATTTTTTGTGTTAAATTTATGAAATAATGTATACAGACATACATTATTTCATATCATTTTAAAATTCTTATTAAATGCGCCAACTTTGGTGAAATTTGCCACTGCTATCACAGTACAATTTTTTTTCAGTACAGTCACTTAAAATAAGTTAAATAATTTATTAAGAAAACTTGGTTCGTAAAAAACGACAATATTTTCCAAACTAAAGCAGTTGGCTCAGAATATGTAATTTAATAATACCGAAGCACTATTTAGGATAAAGTAAGCAAAAACACAGACGAAAAAGTAAAGAATTCTAGCAATAAGAGTCAAAAGACTGGCACAGGGTGTACTTTTCGTGGATAACACATAAGTCATTGCAATTTAAAAACTATCTGACTTGTACTTTTTTTATATTATTCTGATAACTGTAGGAACCTTGCCGACCACCTGGTGCCATTTGATCGTCGACTTCGGAGACACCAGTATGTATAACTACAGGAACAAACAACAAAATTAAATGATGCCAAGTTAGTAGATGCCAGTACGCGGAACCAGGCGGCAGTGAATCAGTGTGGAGGCGGGGCAGCCGTGGCACGCGAGGGGCGGCGCCGGTCCTGCTCTGTAATTAATCTGTTAACGTAGCCGACGTTATAATGACACAGTGCGCCTGTAATTACCTCATTATTGAATCAGAACATCGCCAGATTTGTCATCGGGTTAGGAGTGCCACACCGTCTCTACACGACTCCGATGATGTTTGCATTCCAAATTTTGGTTTACGATAATCGTGCTAATATTAATTTTAATAATACCTACTTAATAAATACTTATTATTATTGTAACGCTAGTCAATTATTTCTTCTAGACAACTTCGGACGTCATTTCTTTCTCTTGCATTAAATCGACGTCACTCGGGATAACATAATATCCTCGACATTGGATCAGAATGTGCCCATCGTTAGCTAGACAATTTTTGCATCGATATCTTTTTATTATAGTTTTGTTTGTTAGCGCAGTGGTACAGAGCGGTGTGTGCGCAGGTCTCTGTCGTCGGGCAGCGTGGCGACACACCTGCGCATCCTGCGGCGCTGCGGCTACTGCCGGCTGGCTGGCGGCGCGCGCGTCGCCCGCCTCGGCTCGCTGCACGCGCTCTACCGCGGCTTCACGCTCGCACTCACTACTCTCTATCTGCTACAAGAATGCATCTATGCCTATCAGGTTTTAAAATACTTAAATATAATTATGTAGTGGGTTTCAGAAGTAAATAAATAATATAATGTTTATAAACTAAAACCTGTGTAAGAAAAACTTTTCGGAAAATCACACCAAAACATAACATACATACATACATACGCGCCACCTGAGAAGTTCATTTTTTTGAAGTCAAGTAAAAATTGAATTTGGTCGACAGATTCGCATCACTTCATTTCAAATCTGGGTGAAATGAAGTGATTTCCAGGTACCATTTAAGTCGAATAATTTCACCGGGTCATATTACCAGTGCTTGCAGCGCTTCTACCGGTGATTATTTACTACTGGCCTCTTTTGCAATATTTTATTTTAGAAAGAAAGAAAGAAATCTTTTATTTGCTGACTAGCTTCTGCTAAGGAAGTACCCAAACTCAAACTCTCAAACTCAAATGCATTTATTTCAATTAGACCATAATTTGGTACTTTTGAAACGTCAACAAATATGAGATATATAATAGTCTGTCAGTCTGTCCGTCAGTGAAGCTAGGCGCTCGTTCCAAAATGTCGATTCCAGTGGAGAAGAACGAGCAAGAAACTCCATAACGAAATCCGAACCCAAGACGAAATCTCCTATGTGTGGTTCATCAAACAGCTAACGGTATTATGGCAAGTTCCTAAAGTGTGTACTACAATCATATGAGCATAAACGAGTATACTATAAAAAAACCGCGCCGTTTGCTCTACTTTCACGTGGTGTGATATTATGAAATTGTAGAAAATTGTGAGTAGGTACCTACTCAGTATAATTTCGTAGGTAGTTAACGTAAAATGTACAGAAAAAGAGATATTGTAAAACGGTTTTCGGCCGTGCTCACACATGAACATGCCATGTCAGCAAGATAATCCTACGTGATAAAGTACTGAAAAACATACCTATTAATTATTAAACATCACGTAGGTACTCACGTAAGGATATAGCGCTGAGATGGTACATTACACGCATAGCACACAATCATAGTGTGGTATGTGTGTACATAGAATAAGTTTAGTATATAAGATCATGTAGATTAAGAAATAAATCAGTCACTAGTTAATTCCGACTTTGCCTCACTACCCTTCCTCCTCCTCTCACTGTGGCCAAGACACCTTTAGCCATCGACCGATCTGTCGTGTGAGTCTGCCCGACAGGCAGTAAGAGAACCCTCACCACCATACCCCATTCCTACCCACATTGCGTCTGCCATCATAGGTCTCAGGTGGCAGATATCCCGCACCTATCTATATAAGTATATATAAATACGTATAGAAGGCTAGGGTCTAGAGACTGTAGGGCTAGGGCATTAGGCGCGTACGAAGCGTAGGCCTGTATCACAGCATACCACAGTGCACCACGATAGTACGTGCCTTAGGTTAAGGGCCTGGTAGTAGGTGCTGGTCTGTATCACAATATACCACAGAGCACCGAGCCTATAAGCATTATACGCTAGGCAAAGATAGGATAGGACATAGGTAATTAGGCTTAAGGGAGATAGAATAGGATATTATAAGTGTTAGATTAGCTAGGATAGTGTAGGATAACGTTAGATAGTCGTCATTAGGATTAGGTAGTCTCCTGTACAGTACGATCTTAGCGTAAAGCTATTACCCCGGTATACAGGCCGTCATTTTTACAGTGAGTACAGTGTAGCTTCTTTTGCTATATCAGGTGCGACAGGACATGGACAAGTTGGCTCGGGTGATGTTCTTATTGCTGTGCCACATCACGTCCATAGCGAAGCAGCTCGTCTTCCATCTGAAAGCGGATAGGATAGACGAAATGCTCGGGGGCTTGAACGGTAGGTGCGACGGAACATTATTATGTCGAGGACAACAACTTACCACTATGGAAGCGAATCAGTTCGATGTACCTATTGTTACAGAGCCGCTGTATAACCAGAGCGCGGCGGTGCACCAGCGACTACTGCGCGTGACAGCAGCGCGCGCGGCGCGGTTCGTGCGCGCATACGCGGGCTGCGCGGTCGTCACGTGCACGCTGTGGATCACGTTCCCCGTCATGTACCACCTGCAGGGCCAGCTCGTCGAGTTTCCTTTTTGGATTAACGTTGACTACAATCAGTCAAAAATGTGTGCTATAAATTCATCGCCCCTTAGTCATTTAGGTAAACCCGTTTCAGTTGTATGCTACGTCTATGTCATTGGTTTCAGGTTCATCTTGGTGCTGGCGTACTCGTATTATGTGACTACGTTAGTCGGCATCGCGAATACGACGATGGATGCGTTCATGGCCACCGTGCTCAACCAGTGCAAGACCCAGCTGAGAATATTGCGGTATGTTCATACTGCGACATTGTCCACATTGTTCAAAACATAACATTTTCATATATTGGCTTGTTGGCTTGTTGCAGAATTAACTTTGAATGCCTACCTTTGCAAGCGGTGGAGGTGCTGAAGACGAGTCCCGGTCAGAGTTACGATGCTGTTCTCATGAAACTGTTCAAAGAGTGTCTGCTGCACTATGAAAAGATTACCAAGTATGGTTACAAACAAGTGGCTGTACAGTATACATCCGTTTTATGGTTCCATACTCGAAGGGTATAAAATCCGACTCAAAAACTAAAAACAACGAAAAGTAAAAACTAAAATACGAAACTAACTATTAATTGGTCATTACACACACCCACTGATAGGTAAGAAGTCGGTTGTATCCACAGAACATGTAAAGAAAGTATCTAGTTATGATTATTTCCACATATACATATATAAAATTCTTTTATTTTTCTTAAAAACCTTGAATTTTGCCCAACACTGGGAATTTCTCCTGTGTCGTGGGTGCGTTTACAAACATACAAGTTCACTTACACATGACACCCAGACCCGAAACACTAATTTGTGGATCACACAAAAAGATGCTACGTGCGGGAATCCAACCCACGACACGTTGCGCGGCAGCCGGTTGCCGTACCACTGAACCAACCGTGTTGTCTTTATAAATTACTAGATACTTCCGCGCGGTTTCACTCGCTCTGCTCGGCGCCTATTAATCGTAGCGTGATATTTTATACCCTATAGCATTCCTCGATAAATGAGCTATCCAACACAGAAAGAATTTTTCAAATCGGACCAGTAGTTTCGGAGATTACCGCGTTCAAACAAACAAACAAAAAACAAACTCTTGTCTTATATAGTATACCTCTAGATATTTCTAAATACTACTTGACAAAAAATTAAATAAAAATATAAAAAATAGGAATCAACCAGTAGCGGGAGCATGATCCAAGCTACCGGTGGTTAGGGTTCCAGAGACAGAAACCTCCTCACGATACGTGCCGTTTCTAGGAGAACTGCCTTCTGTATTAGGCCCTTGATCCATCCACCTAACGCCAGCCTCTTAAAATGGATGTCGAGGCTTTTAGGGATAACATAACACATAACATAACCTCACGCCTTTTATCCTCGAAGGGGTAGGCAGAGGTGCACATTATGCTACACTATTTATGTTATAAGTCCCATGTAATAGGGAGTGAGCCTATTGCCATATACCGGGCACAAATTTAAATTCCCAGTAGTTAATACTTTGCCCGACCCGGCAATTGAACCCGAGTCCCCTTGCCCGGCAGTCGCGCTTGCGACCACTCGGCCAACGAGGCACCTAATTTTAAAGTCATTAAACTATCATAATTTATCTTACGAGTGCAAACTACTTACTGGCAGGAGGATTTCTTGCGTATGACTGAAATATTTGGCATCTTTCGAGTAACTAATTAAATTACACAGGGCTGATACTAATATTACTCCTTGACAACACAAAGTATTTTTGTCCGTCGGGGCCAAGAATTGCCGATCTCTTTTTAAATAAAGCTGGGAATTTTATTCAAAAAGCGTAGACATAACACGAACCGCCTATTTTCATTTTCTGAACCCTTGTAATGCGTTTGAAACATTATATAGGTACTGACAGTTTATTCATGTTTCTTACAGAACTGCAAAGATGCTACAAGACATTTTCGGTACAGCCATATTGATTCAATTCGGCATCGGCGGCTGGATCCTATGCATGGCTGCGTACAAGATCGTCACGGTGAGTGTGTGTGTGTGGGGCGGCGCAGCGCCGCGGCGTATTGCTCGTCGCTGGTATTGAGATCCCCTTTGTTTAGTTGAACGTGCTGAGCGTGGAGTTCGCGTCGATGACTCTGTTTATCAGCTGCATCCTGACGGAGCTGTTCCTCTACTGCTACTATGGCAACGAAGTCACTGACGAGGTACCTACTGTGTATAATTATAAATTGTTGTGAATCTTCAGTGTTAGGTCATTTACTAGTAGTAGATATGATTAGATATCTACCAATAAACTGTCTGACTGCTGGTCCAAAGGTGAATAAATGGGTATTGCTCACTGGTCAGTACGCGTGCCTAACCTCAAAGAGGCGACCTCAGACAGCCAGACTGCCGATAATTGAACATAGTATATCCAGGGTCGTTGACAGTGTTGTCCCTCACTGTATATTTCAATCTGTATAAACTTGGTACAAATGCCAAGGTTCATCACTACACACTTCTGGTACCACAGTTACCCAACTAGTACCTAATGTTGCATGCACTTATGAATTTATTTGGTGAAAAAAAAACTTAATTAACAACAATTACATAAATAAAATTAAAACTAAATATTACTAAATTAAATATATACAACATATATATTTAATTTAGTAATATTTATATATAATTATATGCATGCACTGCATTTAAAATATAAATATGCAGTGATGTGACCCGGTACGTAAATTATATTTACCATTCATGATTGTGGCTTGTGGCTACACTCTACCTCTACAATAAACAACAAACATATTTGATTGGCTGGTGGTTGGTGTAATACGCAGAACTGTGTCATAATGTAATGTCAGTCACCTTTGTATACTGTTTTTCCATTCGGGGTAACTTGTTGCCAACCCAAGGCAAAAATAACCTTGTAAGGCGTTATATCTCGAACAGGCTATTTCCAATATTTTTACTGAAGACATTTCTTATTATCTGTTTTTGGTTCTAGTTTTATTTAGCAACCCGTTCGTTCGTTTGAGTCAAAAGTAATTGTAATTGCACCCGGTTTCTGACGACTACTGGATATGATTTTTACTACACAGTTACACACTCTTAAGTTTGATGACCATACAATATTATTTTTACAATTACTTACTTCCATTACACATATTATACGAAGGGGCTTGATTGGTAGAATAGAGTGTCATTAAAACCGTTTAACTTAAAAAATGTGATGTATTCTTTGTTTAAAATACATATTTTAAAGTATTTTGGTGCCTCGGATTCTGATATTGAGAGCATCGTGAGTGTTGCAGAGCTCGCGCGTGTCGGAGTCGCTGTACAGCATGGAGTGGGCGCGCGCGGGGCTGTCGTTCCGGCGCTCACTGGTGCTGGTGATGGAGCGCGCTAAGCGCCCGCTGCGCCCCGCCGCCGGCCGGGTCATCCCGCTCTCACTCGACACGTTTGTCAAGGTCAATTTTATAATACTGACATAGCACAGGTCCATGTTCAAAGAATCTGAATAGATATTAGGACCCCCTACGCCCTACGTTGGGTCCCAGATGTCGCGTGGAGGGGTGCTGCCCAATAGGGCGAATTAGGAGAGATAAATTAAAGGGATTAAGCAGGAATAATGCGGAACGCAGGATTAATGCGGTGGAAATGAGAGCCCTGGTAAATATGTATGTGTGGAGTAAAATTGAGTGATCGAGTGAAAACAGTGTTAGTTAAATCGTGTTAGGTAAATAGTGTTAGTTAAATCGTGTTAGGTATTAGAAAAAGGCGCGGATTGTAGAGAAAAGGATTGAAAAGGGAATGTTACGCTGGTTTGGACACGTAGAAAGAATGGATGAAAGTAGAGGAACGAAAGAAGTAGGTATACAGATCGGATAAATGAATGGGGCCGTCGGTAGAGGGCATTCTAGGCGGACATATGCATACTAACCAGAATGGTGATATATTAAAGAAAGCCCAAATTAAAAGTACATACAATACTTTGTGTGATCCTCAAATTGTTGTTTTGTGTCTGGGTGTCATGTGATTGTGAACTTGTATGTTTGTAAACGCACCCACGATACAGGAGAAAATCCTAGTGTGGGTCAATGTTCAAAAAAAAGAAAAGAAAAAAAGGGTATTTACAAATTTATACTTTAATAGGTAAGGAATGCATTAGGCTAAAATATCCAGACGGTGAGCTCAGGGCTCAGGTAGGCTTCTGAGACGACCAACCGGCCAGCGGTTGGAATTAGTTTATTGTCTACCTCAGGTGCAGCACTTTTTATCAAACTCCGGGAAGGCGGGACGTAGGAGTCACCATGTTGGTTGTAGTGGTGGACGGAGCAGGGCTACGACAGAGAGGATACCTAATTTGGTTTTCATATTTCAGATAATAAAGTCATCGTATACTTTCTACGCAGTACTGCGCCAGACGAAGTAGATCGAATCAACGACTCGCGACGTCATCACTAGACTATCCAACTATTAGATGAGCTTTACATGTAATCAGCCTGTAGACACTACATTAAAAAAATAAAAATAAAAGAAACAATAAGACTTTTACTGACTAACGAAAGAGCACCCCGTTCTTAATCCTGCGTCGAGCCGGATCCCCAGTGACCCCTAGGCCATCAGCAGTTCCGAATCGGGCATCAAAGGGCGTAGTATTAGCAAATGGAAACCTCCATTATTTGAAGTCGATTAAACATAACTGAAACTTTAACCAAATTATCTTTTGTATACATGTAAGTATGTATGTGCGCGACTATTTCACAATTGGCTGAACCGATTTTGATACGGTTTTCAGAAAAGAGTTTGTTACACTAGGTGAAGGATTAAATATATTAAATTACCCGATTTCAAAAAAGAGTGGGTTGAATTAGGTAGTTAAAACGTGTTTATAAAAGAATTGTTGTATTACTTGATAAAACACTCGCTCTAAATAAAATAAAACGTTTGTACCTGACCCAATTTAAAATGGGCTCTTAACAAAACAGGCAGCTATTCACACAACCACCATCCTGAGTAAAGTCTTGGGGAACACTATCTATGTAGACAGGGAACGCGACGCGACTTTCACGAGTCGAGATGTAAGGAAGAGATGTAAACACACACATAATATAATAATAATATAACTTTTATTTCAGACCAGGTCCATAGAGTTAGTAACAAATGACTTCAACTAGTATAAGTAGAAACAAACATATTACTACAAAACTAAAACACAATTAAAGTAGGGCATGGAGTTGCATCCACCTTTGCATCATCTGAGAATCCCACCGATGTGCGAAAACACTGAGACTACTGTTGGTACCGCCGCGTACACGTGCCACCAGAGAAGCATATCTCTTTCTAATTATGGCGAACTATCAATACCTGCGTCCGCAAACATACCTGATGCACTGCAGTGCCACGACAGCCCCAACAGCATTCTCAATGCATTATTGTATTGGACACGCAGATCGTCGTTTGCCCGCCGACTGAAACCGACCCACAGGCCGCACGGGTAGAAGGACTAACAATAAGCTTTGAAAAGCGTTATTTTAATAGACCTCGTACAGCCCACACACCTGCGGGCCAGCATTATACAACAAACAGCTAGCGACTTACGTTCCCTCTTAATGTCACAATTGTCTTTGAGATCCTCGGTGACCCAGTGTCTAGGTAGGTGTTTTTTGTCAACTCTTCGCAGAGATTCTCCATACAGTGTGACGTTTGGGATATTAGAATATGTCCATATGTCCCATTGCCCGCCTTGAAAACTAATTGTATTGTATGTATATGTGTAGAATTAACTCGTCGAGCACCGTCAATATAGACACAATTAAAGAACAATAGGTTGCGGTCACCGGTGACCGCTTGGTGTTTGACAGTTTAAATAATTATGTACTGCAGGCTTTAGGGAAACATTATTAACAACTAGCTGACCCGGCCAATTTCGTACCGCCTACATTTTTTTTCTCACCTTTTAAACCTTCCCTGGACTTCCACATTTCACATTTCAACAAAATTAGCCAAATGTGTTCGCCGTTGTCGAGTTTTAGCGAGATATTACATTTATATATACATACATCATTTTAACGAATAATATTGATATAATTTATTATATTTACACAAATGAACCTTACAGACAGTGTCCCAGCACTTGATACTTGATAATAATATATTACAATATATACAGCGTGAGTGCTCACGCGCGGACGTCAGTGCGGAGCGCGCGCGTCGCTGCGGACCTGCAACACACGTGGCATGGTGACTCGGGACCAGACTACAGCAGCTGCGGCGGTGTAACGACTGATTATGTACTCAGTTGTATAGCAACCAACCTATCCACGGGAGCGGGGCTGACAAGCTCGCAAAATTCTTTTCAATTATGTACCGATGGTCCGATACATTTCGCTTTATTTTAGTTTTACCGAAAGTCAAAGTCAGAATAGAGCTTTAGTAAGGCAAATACGAGAAATAGAATTCCACAAGCCTTCATTAGGAATGGGCGGGAATCACTAAACCTACGAGGATCTAGGCACGGAGACGCGGGCGAGGGCAAGGCGCGACACATGCAGCATGCACTGCACGCGCAGGCGCACTAGCCGCTAGGGGTGCACTGGGCGCGGCGCGCAAGCGTACTTACAAGCCATGCGAGAGTAAGAGCGGGGTCTCTGTACGTATTACCGAGTGTATCGGTCCTGTATAACGTCTTCTTCTTAGAAGCGGTGGCTTTGTTGGAAAGAGAAAACACTAGTTACTGTTGTGGTACACAAAATATACAAAAGTCCCGCTGTGTGTCTATTACTTTGTATGCAGTCTGTGATATTTAAGTTTGTTTCGGTGTTTCTTTTCAAAGTACCTAGTCAGAAAGTAAAATATACCGGCGTCATTTACGTAGCTTAACTTTTAAGTATTGACATGTACCGTAAAGTGCAATTTAAATAATTTATTTAACAATTTGTTAATGTTAAGTATGAAATAGAAGAATATAGTGAATGATTATAAAGTGGAATAAATGTTCACCTGAGCGAGGGCTGACAGGGCGCGCGACGTCGACGTCGCTCACGAGGCGCCGCAGTGTCGCGCGGCCCGTATACCGTGTCTTCCGCACTCGACTCAGGCGCCGGCGCCGGCAGTGTCTCTGCACAAGCACTTAACGTCATGTCACAGGTAGCAGGGTGATACATGCAGGTACAGACTGCGGCACTCACCGGAGAGGTGCGCGGCGGGCAGTCGGTACAGCTCGGCGGCGCACGCAGCGCACGGCGAGCCGCTCGACTCCGAGTCGCTGTCATGTGACCGTCCGTACTCTGTCGTACAAACATTACTTGCAATGTGTAATTTAGCGTCAACATTGTGAATGGTACCTACATGAACTCGAAGCGAATTGTGTAGGAGGTACGCGGACCTATTTCAATAGCTGTTTCCACTGAATTGCAAGTCTCGAAATACCCACGTTATGTACGAACACACGACACTCCGTCATGAACACGGTTCACATATTATGAAGGAAATAAAATAAAAATTGGGAAGTTTACGCACGTTGGGGGTACAATTATCGGCGTTTAATTGTTACGGCACATACAGCGCTAGCGACGCCCCTGTATGTCATGTGTGAGCGCGAGGTTAGATGTAGGTACCTGCAGCGTGCGCCAAAAGGTTGGGGCGAGGCGGGGGCGCGGCCAGGTCCAGCGCCTCGGCGCGGCCGAACGTGCGCAGGTGCAGCGCGCAGCCCGAGAGACCCGCGCCCGCGCCCCGCGCTGCCCCCGCGCCTCTCGTGCTCTCCTCGCAGCCCGAGCCGCCCGACATGCTGAATGTCGCGTACGGGCTAATCTCATGCATCTCGCTCCTCACTATACAGCCATACTCCGGCGTTAGTTTTACAAGAATTTACATGGAACAATCGGGTAGGTAGACATTTTTAGTTAGTTAGCTGCCAACATATTTCACTTGTGACGTCTTTACAGGCTAATCTATCATTACACAAACCTACAGCTTATTAATTACTATCATCTCAAAGTACGCAATAATTTTTAGGGCCACAGGGGTGAAGCACATCGAAGTGAAAACACATTCAAATGCACCCATATTTTATTTATTTAGTCTTCAATGTACACAATTTGATTACACAGAGGTATAAAAGGTAAACTTAATGCCGTATGGCATTCTCTACCAGTCAATTTCAGGGTTTACGTAGAAAATCTACGAAATGTGGGGTACGGAGAACAAACTAACAGCAAAGAGAAAAAATATGATAAGTATATAAATAATATAGTATAGTAATATGCACAAAATATATAGGTATACTTAAATACTTACATAAATATCGACATCAAATATCGACAAAGACTAGACCTATCGTTGCAGCAATTTTAAATAAAATTTTTAAAACATCGTAGACAACTGTGTTAAAAGCATTGGAGAAGTTGATTAAAACCAACACTGTGACCTTCAGCAGGGCAGTGGATGTGCTATGGCCAGGCCGACAACTGATTGGAAGGGAAAGGGAGACAGCAGTTTATGTTTAAAGAGGTAAGAGGACAAATATCCTCTTTATAAACAAATATTCTGCTTCGAGAATCTTAAACAGGTAAGGAAGGATAGAAATGGGTCTGGAGGTTTTAGGGAGTGGAATTATATATTATTTTTGCCACAATGACGGAAATACACCGTAAAATACAGCAAAATTAATTACGTGAGTGAAATGAAGAAGGAAGTGCTCGTATATTAAAGAGATCATAGTTCGATCCATCAGAGCCCACCGGTCTGAGTTTAATTGATGCAAAAGCTCTGTATCACGAATTCAGTCACGGGACTAAATGAAAAGGTGTTAGGAAGTAATATAGACCTGGAAGTTATCTAAGTTTTGTGTTTGACTACGTCTATGAGACCCGTATGTGTAGCGAAATGCTAGTTGTGACTATTGAGGGACAAATTCGGCGATAAAACACTTGTCGAAGTCTCACAAACATCCAGAGATTTTAAGAACTTCCATACATCAGCCTGTGAGGAGTTTGAACATTGTCAAAACTGTAGCGGCGTTTGGCCGCTCCAACTATCTGGTTATACCGATTCCTCGCTATCTTATACTGATTCCACTTTTCCTGGTAGGTACGATCGAGTACGATCGACTAAGATCTCTTCTATACCTAAAAACGCTTTGTTGCGGTGCCTCATACCCGTCCGGACCCGGGGTTATACACGGAGCCGAAGGACGTCGAAGACGGACTGCCTTCAGAGGTGCGTGAGAATCTACAAGTCTCAAGACAGTGTTATAGAAGCCGATTGATATAAGTTTGTCCAGTCAATAGATTGTGCCTCGCTGGCAAGTTTAGCCTTGTCTGACATATCGTACCTCCGGTGCTATAACGTCACTTATGTATTGCGGAGGCCCGCGCGCAACTGAACAATGAAACGTTTTTTCTCCTAGCGCCGTTCAGATTAGTGCCAAAACCGTAACGACAGTAATGCCCTCACAATGTCAGTTTGCTTACAACACAAATGACAATAAATAACGCACCAAGTAAAGAGGTGAATTTGGAGTATTCTTTCATCAGTGAAGGTTTGACAAAAATTGCATAAGTGACGATATTGCACCGGTAGGTGCGATATGCATTCGCGTTCAAAAATAGTTTTATTATGTCAATAACTAAATATTCGCTTTGATGCACTTCAACTACACCCGAGTACATTGAACTCAACACTCAATACTCGATAGTGTTTTATAAAAGAAGTAGGTATGTATTTAAGCAGTCTTACCATCGGGTGGAGTAATAGCTTTCCCATTTCGTTTGCTCGGTTCCGTGGTGTAGAGCTGGGGGTGCGGCTGGCACAACTGGTGCAGCGAGCGCTCGCGGCGCAGGCACGAGGCCGCGCGCCGTCGCCGAGCTACCACTACCGCTGCACATACAAACAAGAACAATTCGATGACAGCTCCGGCGGCAGCAGCGACGCGACGCCTGGAAGTCAGACACAGTGGCGGTACCGGTGAGAGCGAGCAGCAGCGCGGCCAGCGCGCCCGCCAGCAGCGCGGGCAGCAGCCCCGAGCGCCACAGCGCGCCCCCCACCCCCGCGCCCCCGCTGGCCGCTCCCCCGCTCACCACGCTGCGTTTCTCCGCTGGAATCTCGGAGGGCTCGCCTAAACGCTCTGTAACCATGACCATGATCAAAATGGCCCTTTTGAATGTGTGTTTCTGTAAATTCTTTAATTGGTACAAACTCCAAGTAGGTATCTTCAAAAATGTAATAGGTATGTACATACAAACAGACTTCCTACGTAGGAGAGCCGGACTCGAACTCTATTGGGCCTTGGGCTGGCACAACAGGAGTGATACCACGGCTCTACTCGCAACTAGTCTAACGTAAACGCACCTAATAACGACCCATTAAAATCAGCGCTCATTACCGCCCTATGCAGAAAACTATCATTTTTACGTCATGTATTGAAGTTACACAATTGATTGCTTTAAAAAAATGTAGATATATTTGTATTGCAACTGTTCATCTCTTGTTTGAGTGCGTAACTCGATGATTTAAATAATAATTGCTTAGTTAGTCCGTGGACGCCGACTTTAGTGCATTTTCCATAGTGCGGCACTTCCGATGGCGTAAGGACTCTTGTTTCGTTTTTAGCAGAAGATTATATCATTAAGCATATTAATGAAACTTCTAGTTCTTTTAATGCATTTTTGATACTTTTAGGAACACAAGTAATGATTCATTTTAATAAGATATTATTTTATTTTGCTTAAAATTCAATTTTAAAAATAGTCTGTAATAGGAACAAAAATCACAATTTTATTCCTATTAGCGACCTATGTCGCTGATAAGTACTTGTCGTATCTTTTGTGTGCCATGATTTTTGTTAAAATGCATAAATTAATAGGCAGGAGGGTATACTAATTCAGTCCCTTAGTATGTTAACTTATATTTGAGCTATTAACGCCATATATTTAAGAGCTTTAGTAGCGGTATATACTAACTTAGTTCTTATGTAAATATTTTGATGAATAAAGGAGGCATAATTTTTAAATAGTGTATTTTTGTAGTTGAAATATCATTACTATTAAATATTTTTAGCAACCGCACCACTGAAAATCATATACATGAACATAAATCACATGTATTTACACAATTCATACACATTCCCATGGGTCGGTAATAGGTTATATGATTTCCTTTAAGAAAACCTATTACCGATCTACTTGTACATTTACGATGGACCCCATACTACATGTTTTTTATTTGGTATTTTGGCACGCAGGCATCGGTTAACGAAGACTTGAAGTTGGCGTGAGATGTTTTTGGTCACCTTCCACGTTTCGCACCCATAGAGCAGAACGGATTTTACACTTAACCGAAGACTTTCAGTTTTATCCTTCGGGTCAGTTTCCATGACTGCCACACAGTCACAAAAAACAATAGGTAGGTATATAAGTATAACTATTTTAAGATATTTATATGGTTTAACTTTAATTACTTTGATATAGTTTAGAAAAATTATAGTATTAGGTAATAGGTATTAGCAATTATTTTTTAATTTTTAGTTTTTTTTTGTGTTCTCGCATTTGAAGTCGGTTTTATTTTTTTTTAAAAAGTTAATTAAGTATATTGATTTAACGATGTTAAGAATATACTATTATAAGAATACATTATAATTTATTGTTAAGTGTTGGATCATTTATATAAACAGTGCAATATACACGAGCATTTAAATTCAATTTTAACGGTCTCATTTATTTAGTGGTCGGTATTAGGTGTTACTAAAACGGTATTAGGCACATACCGATGTTTTGAGTCGGTAATGGGGACATGACCCTGATTCCTTTTATTTAATTTTTATATTATTAAGTAATTCTTTGATTGTCTATTCTTCTACATAACTAAAAAAATCGATAATTTCAGCACCGGAAAAAATATTTTTATTGTAGCCACTTATTAAGAATGTGCTTATTTTTTTGATATCAATCTGAACTGTGCTTAAACTGGCGGTAATGGGTGCGTTTACGTTAATAGGTATTAATTAAAAAATATAACTAAAAACAAACAAAAGGTTAAAGATAAAAGCAGAAAATTGATAAATTAGCTACCCACTGTCGGCGCCACACATCACAGGTTTTAAACAAAATGTTATGAATTACAAACTTAATATTAAGCTGAGGACAGTGACTGAGTTCTAGGTTATTTATTCAGTATTATTGTTATATGTTTTTCATTTCTCCTTTATTTTTTATTTAGGTATACTGAACTAAAAGACTAAAGAAGAAAGCATTTAATCAAGACATGAGTTTTCGATAATGACTGAGAACCTCCATTAGCAGAATGCGTGGCAGCTCTGTAAAACGCAATGGTGTCCCCAGCAGAAGATCGCGCCTCCACTCGCAGCTCGTACCAGGCGCCCGGCTGCAGGCCGCCGGCCTGCGCAGCACAAGCACGTCACACTCCGATACCTCCGGACGCATGTCATTACAACGTGGAAGGGTGCGGTGGCACGTACCTCGCCAGTTTCTCCGTCTGTGAATATATTCTGCCAGGCGCCGCCAGCAGCGTGGCGCAGGGTCAGGTCCCAGGCGGCCACGGGGCAGCGCCCACCCCAGGCGAGCAAGTTCAGCCGCAGCGATGTACTGTTCGCCCAAATGAACTCCTTACCTTGCGGTGCTTTAGCTTCTGCGGATGATAAGAACGTGTAATAATGAAGCACTAGGTCATTATTTACAGTTGTATATATTGATGAATTACTATAATATGCTGACATGTTACTGATTATTATTTTTTTCTGTCTCTTTTGACCGAGTGGTCACAAGTGCGACTATATGGTATGAGCAAGTGAGTCGCGAATCTTCTCGTGGTTGCTTAGAAATTCTACCCAATACTTATCGAGGAGGTTGATATTGTCTGAATATGAGTCTCTAGCGTGGCGAAATTAATCGAGTTCGTCGTCAAATCGTTACGTAAGCCGAAAAATAATAATATAAAATGAACACGTGTGAACGAATGGCGTGCTGGAATAGTGCGGAATAGTATTCGGTTGCAAAATATTGTACCGAACAGCATTAACTAAAAATTATTTTGCTGTCTAACTTACTTGCTACAATAAGTAATATGTATTGAATTTCTTCCTGTACTTTTTACTGTTGGTCCAACTTACGAGTTCATTTCTCGTGTGTTAATTGATTTTAATTTAAAGTGTTTAGAATGTTGTCGATTTATGTATAGAAGGCAAGAGAAGAATAGAAAGTTATTACCTACGTTTTATGGTGTTCGGTAACTCACTTTCGCCTCTGGTGCGCGCGACGAGCGGCGCGGAGTGCGGCGACGCGCCGAGCGCGTTGTGTGCCTGCAGCGTGACGCGGTAGGGCGCGCCGCACGCCAGGCGCGCCAGCCGCAGCGACGTGTCCGCGCCCGGCACGCGCCGCGCGCGCGCCGCGCCCGCGCTCTCGCCGCGCGTCCACCACACGGTGTACCCTGCTTGTCGGTTCACAGTTGGCGTAATATTATCTGAGACTTCCGTAACGTGGGGCGGCCGTCCGTTGTGATCAATATATTTACCCAGTATATGTGCCCCACCGTCGTTTGGTTTATCCCAGCTGAGCTGAAGCGCGTGCGCCGCAGTACTTAGCAAGCGGGGTGCCGGCGGGGCGGGCGGGGCGCGGACGTGCAACGCTATACTCAGTGTGTCAGAGCCCACCCCATTGCGGACTGTGCACGTGTAGTTGCCCGCTAGCGACACATCTGCCTCTGAAACAAGCCTGGTTTCAGTTTATACGAAAGACAGTTTATCAAAGCATTAGGAATCAAACGAATGTCCTCACTATGAATGATGAGATCGCCATCATCAGAGATAGTTGAATGGCTCGGTAACGGCGCCCAGCGCCAGCGCAGCGGCGGCGCGCCCAGGGCGGTACAGTGTAGGCGCACGCGCGATCCCCACGCCGCGGACACCACTCGACTGAACGACGATATCCTGGCTGATACTGCCGGTTTAATAGAGTCGATAAAATCATTATAAAATCATGATTTTGAGCTATATGATAAAAATATCAAAATTATACATGGCTTTTGAAAACACATTATTAATAATGAGCAACATAACTAGTGGTCGTAGGTCTAACTAGGATGTGACGTACACGTGGGAGCCGGCGCGGCGGTGACGGGGCGGCTGGGCGGGCCGACGCCGGCAGTGTTGGCGGCGCGCACCCAGAACTCGTACACAGTGCTCTCGCGCAGGCCGCGTACCTCGCGCCACACCTCCTCCGGCCCGGTCTGAGTCTCGCCTTCCTCCACCGCTACATCGACACGCTGTGCCCACTCTCCACCCACTCTTTAATAAATAATTAGAACTCGAATACATGTAAGTAGGTATGATGCGGCTTCCGAAGTTGCTTACTTACTTGGCGTTTTCCCTGGTGTAGAGCGTGTAGTGCGTGAGCCGGCCAGCCCCGGCGGGCGCCAGCCAGGTCACGCGCACTGCGCCGGCGCCCGCCGCCAGCGCCCGCACTTGTTCGATGGCCTCAGGAACTGCTGCCACATACATTATCATGCCGTAATCCGATGTTATGATCTAAGCATCCACTAAGAACGAAGAGAGGAAAGATTTTGATTTATTTCACCCCCAAGGGGGTACAATAGGAGACGAAAGTCGGTATGAAATCTTGATAGGTACCTAGATGTTAAGACGAAATAAGAAACGATAAAATAAGGATAAGAGTTTCTTCTTAGTCATTGAATCTAGAATCATTTAACTTTTTGACTTTCGGTATAACGATATTTTGAGACCGGGGAAACGATGTATGTATTATAATCTTTGAAGTCCCACGCGGGAACCGGAAGTATGCGTTCAAGCCCCGGGACTATCTATCTCTTACCCACTGAAATTATTTTAGAGAGATTCGTTATAACAATGGCCGATAGAATAGTTTTTATCACTAAAACCTTACGGCAACGGGCATTATACTGGTAAAATCCACGTGGGATTATTTATTTTTTGAAACCATGATAAATGCATTTCACAATAAATCTTACTTAGGCACTGAATCGATTCTGATGAATTGTGCCAGAAGTTATTCTATTCGGACGAAGTCGCGGACACAGCTAGTGTAAAATAAAGAGCATATTCGGATAATGTAGTAATGAAATGGAATAGTGGCTGACCATCGTCGCGCGTGGTGCAGTAGACGGGCGCGGCGGGCGGGCCGGCGCCGGCGTCGCAGCGCGCGCGCACCCACACGGAGTAGTTGGTGGCGGCGCGCAGCCCCTGCAGCGTGGCCGCGCCGCCCGGGCCCGCGCGCGCCGCGCCGCCCTCTGACATTTATGCTCATTATAATCTTTCTGTATTTCGTAATTCGTACATAATTCTCGACTTGCTTTTCAATGTCTGTCTTCAAGTGTTATCATAATTGTAACATAACATAACATAACATAACATAACATCACGCCTTTTATCCCCGAAGGGGTAGGCAGAGGTGCACACAGAAGTAACACCCACTTTTCACTAATTTATGTTATGAGTCCCATGTAATAGGGGGTGAGCCTATTGCCATATACCGGGCACGTTTCCAGACTCCGTGCTGAGATTTAATTTAAGTAATACTTTGCCCGACCCGGGAATCGAACCCGAGACCCCTTTGCCCGGTAGTCGCACTTGCGACCGCTCGGCCAACGAGGCAGTTAGTTATCATAATTGTATTGATATGATATTATAATATTTTTATTGATGACACACTCCAGAGGCCAGCGCGTTCACAATACACATGAATACTTATAATCAAATCGTTTGTTAGTATGTAGTAATAATAATACTTAATATATGTAGTTACGTGTATATATATAGATATATGTATACTCCATAATTACGATATACTTTTTGTACTTAATTCAAAAATATATCTTACATCTATCTATATTACTTATACATAAGTGATGATAAATCAAAACTTGCTCCGGTTCATGGCCTGAATTATTTGTAAGCAGATGCGTTTATTCGTAATGATCATTAGACGTATAGCGACACGTAGCGTACAGACCGGAGGCTGCGTGCAGCGGTGCGTAGTGCAGGTCGTACCCGCGCAGTGCGTGCGCATGCGCGGCGGACAGCGGCGCCCAGCGCACGCGCAGCGACGTCGCCGACAGCGCCTCGCACGCCACGCCGCGCGGCCACTCCTCCGGCACTACACACGCAGCTGTTACTCTATTGTTTGTGGACTCATGTACCGTCTAGCTCAGCGGCTCGTACGGCATGAGGCGGGTGCCATAGCAGTTGTATCACGGTTGTACATATTAAATCAGAAAAGCGGCCAACCATGTTCTGATTCTTTGTGTTGTGTGCTTTTAAATCTTCGAAAGACATACAAGAAAAGAGTCCTACGAGCCGAGTTAATCATGTCGTATCTTAATATAATGTATTTAAAAAGAAGCATGACTCTAGTATTACATAAAGAGTTGTGCATGCGGAAATCCAATCCGCGACATGTTGCACAATAGCCGGTGGCCAAGTCTCCACACTTAATTCAATGCTTTTAAGACACGTTGAGACGACTCTGCAATGATGCAAACAATATTATAAAAACCAATATTGTTAGTCCGTATTGAACGTAGTAAAACAGAGTTGAAATCATACCAAGTAAAAAGTAATTCTGTAATTTTAATTTATCCTATGTTTGTATAGTTGGTAGCTTCAAGTTTGCCCCGTTGTATTTGCTAAGTAGATTTATGGTAATCTGTGGCAATGTCGTGAGGAGTGTATTTGTTAAATCTATTATTTTACTCACTCGTGTTATATTTAATATACTGATGTTTGTTGTCCTTGATAAATAAATAGCTGCAAGACAGAAAGCGAGGAATAAAACAATGAGTGAGTCACCTCCATCGACGGTAGTAGCGTAAACAGCAGGTGAGTGCGGGCCGGGGCCCGCGCGGTTGTAGGCGCGCGCGGTCAGCGCGTAGCGAGCGAACGAGCGCAGCCCCGCCACCGTCAGCTCCGCGCTACTCCAGCCGCGCACCGTTGCGGTGCCTGCGCCCCCCGCGCCTTCGTCCTCGCCAACTACACCGTCAACGCCGAGCTCGCGCCATGAGACTACATACCCCAGAAGCTCACCGTTCCAGCTGTCCTGCGGCGGTGCCTGCTTGAATGAATACTATCGGAGTGAGTAGTCAGACATTAAAAGAAGAACATTTACTTCATTCGGTTTGACGAAAGGAGTAGTAAAGGTCAGATGGTTCTGTCAAGTTGTTACCGTTGCAACTAATGAGATATACGTACCGTCCACGAGACGTGCAGCTCACCCGGTGTGGACGCTCTCACTCTGACGCTCTGCGGAGAGCCAGTCGGGGCTGGAGAGACATCCGGGAAAAGTTAAGAGCTAATGAGTCGTATCACCTGGAAGGCAACTTGTGATGAGCACGCAAGTCTGCTCTTAACATGGGGTGCACGAAAAAAGTAGAAGCCCCTAAATGTGCCTCTTGCTCTTGCTTTAATAGGCCGAGTAATCATAAGAGGGGAAACGCTGTGTGCCCTGCTAGTAAGATAGCAGAACTCAGGTAGGTCTCGTTCTAGTCTAGGTCACACTTCCGATATGATTAGCCTTTCCTTGCACAACGACTACACATTACGCAAACTGTTGCTGAATAAGCAGAATTATTATTTAGCAATAAAGAACCAAGTGAAGACCGTATGGACTTTAGCCAAGTATATGTTTGTGCTGACGCATGTAATTCCTCAGCAATGGTTATAATTTTGTTTGGTAACTGAATATTTGTATGTATATATTTATTAGTTCTATTATATTACAATTAATTATACACCTCTGCCTACCTCTTTTGAGAATGTGAGGTATGGGGTTATAATATGTATTGTATGTATATATGTAAAGAAAAAGATTTTCTTAATTTTTGAAAGAAAGAAATTTTTGTATTTTTGTATTTTATATTTTTGTATTTTTGTTGTAATGATTTTGTTTTATACCACGACGGTGGCAAGTAAAGTACGCTTGTATACGTGTCAGTGGCGTGCAGTCCATATAGGCGAAAAGGCTTTGCCTACCTATAAATATCGTGAATATATAACATACATAAAATGTACAAACGCGTTTATTAAAATTCAATAATATAATAAAAGTTTGTAAAAAAACGGCTAACATAAATACGCGCCTTTGTAAAGTAATGAATGCGCCCCGCACGCACCACGCATGCGCCACTACTCCTTAAATCTTGGTTGGTAGTAGTGACGTCACAAAAGAAATGTACCAAAAGTATGCACCGCGCATGCGTGAAGTTCACGACCATAGTCACGGTACAGAATAACCATTCATAATTATATTACACGATTCCTGTTGATTGACAAAATGTTTGCAACTAAAAAATTAGAGGACCGTTCGTTCATCACTTGGAAAACGATCGTATTTTATTAAGAATTCTAAAACAATAAAACAGCAACAAGTTATTGTATTTTTAAAAACAATTAAATTATAAAAGGTTTTAAATTGATAAAATCTGTATATCGTAAAGTACTGATGAATGGAGTACATCAGCGCCATCTATTGAATTTTTTGTTGAAACTTCTGAACTCGTTCGATATAATGCGAATGTATTTTTATAAATGCGTATTTAACAAATATGTTTCAAGTGTTTTAATTAAAGCTTAACATTTTTACGCGTTGTCGGTTTATAGAAATTTTAAACGAGGAGTTGACTTTATTATTATAAAAGTTAAAAGGAAGTTATTGAAACTTCAAGATGGCGCCATTTACAACGTTTCAAATTATATGAATGAATGTTTTTTAGTATGAAATATTGGTTTAAGACGATGATGCAATTTCATTTGACTTACTAAATTAACCTTTGTTTTTTTTAAATTAAACGCTGCATTACCTTAATTTTTAAGCTACATTTTTTTATAATAAACACTCAATTGACTATTGGTAATGACTTCAATTCGTTTCCAATGTTTTCGGCCATATTGTTTTCATGTGATGTGCGATCGCTTTGTTTATGTTTTCGTTTAAATTATTAGGAATTAGTTTTAAACATAAAGTTGCATAAATGTGTAGTAGTAGTTAAATATATGTGTAGGTTTTTCAAATAGTGTATTTGTTTATCAGTTTCTAGTACAAGTACCTATATTATTCGATTGTGAAGTGTGTGTGAATAATAGGTAATTTTATGTGTTTGTTGAAAGTAAAAACAGTAAGATTTCGCAAGAAAATGTCCTTTATCGGACTAGATTCAGGTAAAGACCATAGGCAGAGGTGTACTCGAGTTACGAGAATTGACCCAAGTAAAAGGTAGGTAATGTAAATATGTACTATAATGGATCTTTTATTTGACTTTCTTGTTTATTGTTTGATAATTCTTAAAAATATCAACTTAGACTTCGGGTTGTACTGATTCACATATTAATTTATTATTAATAATTATGTAATGTAGTAATAACATATGTACCGCATAGACTCGGCCGGCTCGGCCACAGCCGGCCGCGCTTGTTATTGTTTTGTTTGTTGACATAATGTAGGTACCTACGCTCTTAAATTCGTAATATATTATGATTTTGAACAGATTGATTAAACTAAACAATTCCATAATGAAATTTGGTTCATCAAATTTATGCCTTATTATTAAAATAAATAATAGATCCTTCATTATTTGTAAGTTTTGTTGGCTTATTCAATAGCTGATGAAGTACTTCACAAAAAATACGCGAGTTGTCAGTGTATGTAATTTGGCGAAAGAATACACCACAATATTCTTGAACGCACTTTTCGAAATGTATTATGTACATGTACCTATCTTGTGTGAGCATGATTGTATGACCGGCGGGGGGAGAGGGGTTTAATCATACGATATTTAGTTGCCTACCCTGTCTCGAAAACCTGTGCACGCCACTGATACGTGTGCCCCTAAATCCATAGTAGATAATAAAAAAACAAAAAATATGAACTTCAGTTGAACTGTTATCTTCTACGGTAAATCTTAAGATTTACGATAGATTGATATTAACGATAGTTAGGTCTTCCCAATGGAAGCCCGAACTATATTTGCAGAAATATAATATGTTTCAATTAACATATTATATTTCTGCAAATAAAGAATTCTCTCACACGTTTTACCTTCTTCTAGTGTGGTGAACATTAAGGGGTCTGAGTGCGGCGACTGCCCCACGTGGTTGGCTGAAGTCAGTCGCAGAGAGTACGCGCCGGCTGGCCGCAGCCCGTCCAGCGTTGCTGATAATATGTCTTCACTGTCTATCCTACATTAATAATATATAAAATATAATTTCATAAATATAATACCGTGAGATAATCGTCATTCGAATACCGTAATGTAATACTTGATTTTATATGAAATGCATGATGTGAACAATTTCGTGTAGTGTAGGTACCGGTGGTCGATGTGCACCGTGAGGTTGGTGGCGGTGGCAGCGGCCGGGGACCGCAGCGGTGCATACAGCGCCGTGTAGACGGGGGCGGGGGGCGCGCGAGGCGCGGGGGGCGCGGGGGGCGCGGCCCACACCAGGCGCACCCAGCGCGCGCCCAGCCCGCCCAGCCTTAGCTGCCGCGGCGCCGCTGGTGGCTCTGTGCTCGCGCATAATGTATGATACAGATACAGTACAGATATCATGACGACGACAAGAGTCATGCTGAGCGAAATATGACGTCGTTGATGAATTAGTGCTACCGTACTACTAACATTAGCGCAGCGGGTTTCATCATCGCTATGGATCTATTTTTGCCATGAAAACATAATTGTAGAGTGCGGACCTTCGACATGTAAGTACATGAGCAGCTCGCTGCGACCGAACTGGTTGTGCGCGTGGCAGCGGTACTCGCCGGCGTCGGCGCGCTCCGCCGCGCGCAGCTGCAGCGTCGAGCGCAGCCCGCCCGCCGTGCGCGCCTCCGACACCGCCCACCTGCACACGCGCACGTCACTACCTGCGCGCCGGCGCCGGCCGGCGGCTCGCGAGGGTACCTGTAGGAGGACAGGTCGAGCGGGGCGCCGCCGTGCGTCCAGTGCAGCTGGAGCGGCGCGTCGCCCCGCGCCTGGCACACTAGCGCCGCCCCGCGGCCACGCACACTCGTCACGTTGCCGCCCGAGCCCTCGAACTGCGCCGGTTCTGTAGTCAATACAACAATTAAGACAAATGTACACTGTACGGTGCAACCGTACACATTTAAAGTCAGCATTTTTCCGCATCGTAATTCATTTACCTAATTATTCGATTCAGTTCGTATCGAGCAATCAAGTCCGCCGTACGTTCTCATAATTCACATTAGCACTCACGCTCATACAGTTCACTCAATCCATTTTACGTTAGTTTATTATTCTACAATACAAATTATTATTCTCAACTATTGACTTTCATTTAAATCAAGAAAAGTGTGTTTAGTCAACCAAGAGACTATACATACACTATAGTATAGGGTGTCTTGTAATTAGTGTGAGATGCTTTTAAACACGTGATTGTACTCATGATTACAAACGACTCTCCCAAAGTAACTTTATTTGTATATAGTCATTAGTTTTATTTTACCACAATAACAGAGTTCAGATTAGCTGTTAGCAGCGACACGCCGGCGCCCGTGTTATCGGCGACGGATGCGTGCGAGCAGGGGCCACTCTTCACCCGCGCATTAGTGATGTAAAATAAAAACGGTCACTCCGAAAAACACGGTCCGCGTCATTTCCAGCACGACGACGGCGCGCCAGCGCACTTCGAGCGCCGAGTACGCAAGCGCTTAAGTGTAAAAGTGGATTTGTCGAGGGGGGGGGGAGGTTCTGATTCAGACTGTTTTTTTTATTAAAAAAAACTTCAATATCTTTAACAGACTGTTAGTCCAAAACCTAGATAAGTGTGATAGAAAACTTGGAATAACTTGAATCATGTACAGTGTCGAGTAGGCATTGAGTCACTTAATGTAGTCGTATCTTGAACATCCATCCTGTAAGTAACAAAACAAATCTCTCTGATACATATTCAAATATTGTATATATATGTGAGAACAATGTAAAGACGGACAAGGCCAACAATATAATATAAAAAATTTTGTCGCCCTATATGTGTACGGTTTAAGACATTCTGGTGTTTAAGCTTGAAACAAATCAGAAATGGCTAACCATGTACGGTGATGTTGACGTGCTTGAGCAGTGGCGGGCCTACTCCGTTGTCAGCGAGGCAGCGGTACAGCCCCCGCAGCGCGCGCGCGGCCGCGGGCGCGGACAGCGAGCCGTTGCGCGCGCGCAGCCCGCCCGGCGCGCCCCACTCCGCCGCGCTCACTTGCTCCCATTGCTCGCCGCTGTCGCCACTGTCACCACCCGAAGGACTCGCCTCACCTACAAACATCTCATGATAAGACGGGCACGGACATCGATAAATTAAAGTGTAAACTGAATATTGTCGGGTCACTAACCGATGTGTCTGTACCACGTGATTAAAGGAACAGGGTAACCTTTCGCAGCGCATGGTAGGAACAGAGGAGCACCGAGTAACACGGCTGTGTCCGAAGGTTCCATCGTCCACGTCGGAGCAACTGTATGACACATTTTAACAATTACTGGACATTATTATTTATCTATTTATAACATAACATAACATCACGCCTGTTTATCCCCGAAGGAGTAGGCAGAGGTGCACATTACGGCACTTAATGCCACTGTACAATGTAACACCCACTTCTCACTATTTATGTTATGACTCCCATGTAATAGGGGGTGAGCCTATTGCCATATACCGGGCACATTTCCAGACTCCGTGCTACTACTGAGATATTTAAAAACCCAATAATACTACTAACTTTGCCCGACCCGGGAATCGATCCCGAGACCCCTTGCCCGGCAGTCGCACTTGCGATCACTCGGCCAACGAGGCACGAGATCGCCTGGACCGATTTGGCTAATTTTGGTCTTGAAATGTTCGTGAAAGTCCAGAAAAGGTTTAAAGGGTGAGAAAAAAAATTAAGCGGTGTGAAGTTCGCCGGGTCAGCTAGTAAAAATAGATATAATTTAAGGACTAGCTACTTTCGCATGCCTCACCTTTGACACTGAGCGTGGCGGTGTAGTTGACGACTGCGGCGTGGTTGGACACCCGGCACGTGTACTCGCCGCTGTGGCGCGCCGTCAGCTCCGAGAACATCAGCAGTGAGAACTCATTCAGGTTCTTCTCTTCTATCTGAACAACGGTGCTATCGTCACTGCCACGTATACACTAACGTCAAATATGACGCCATCGAGGCGCTGAGTACCTGCAGGTTGGATGGCAGTGGAGCGCCGTCCTTTAACCACGTAAAGTACATGGGCTTATCTCCAGATGACACTCCGCATAGCACCTGCACCGAGCTGCCCTCCGTCAGCTCCGAAGAAAACATGAATGGCGAGATTTTTGGCGGATCTACAAGTAAAATATAACACATTTAAAGGCTTGAACCAAAATATAATCACCACTAGTGATTGTGTCTTTAGCTCATCTTCTATTGCATGAGCATTACATACTCGTACAGAAGCGGGAGTGGATCTTTTAATTTAAGTGGGATAGCCATGCCGTCGGCACGAATGAGTGCTCACAGCCAAGGGCGTGAACAACGCTTGTGTTGTGGTTTGCCGTGTGAGTGTTACGATACTGGAAGCCTAAGTCCTGCCATCCCCAATCTTCTCAATCCTCAAATCCTTAACCTGCAAAAGGCCGGTACCGCAGTCTTAACTCTTCTGATATTGCGGGTGTCCATGGGGGGCGCCGATTGCTTACCATAAGGTGTTCGGTCTTCCTGGTTTACAGCTTGTCCCATAAATTTGCCAACTACTCACTGCGGTCGGGAAATACGAGCCGTTTGTTTAATACATCATTTTTGGCCACAATCTCGCCTGGAAGTAAGCGATGATGTGGCCTACGATGGCGCACGCCTGCCCATATTAAATTTATTCATTCGGGCCTTAACGACACTCACTCACTCGGGCCTTAGGGAAACAGGCTCTGGCAAAAGATTCCACTCTTTCAAGTAATTAGATATCGGATTATATGCATTTGAAAGGTCTTTTTTATAAATTGATCCTTAGATGACAAATGTCATAAGTTTGTTGTAGAAAACGTGAAATATCATATTATTGCTTATTTACAATATAAAAATGAACCGCTAAATGTGTTGTTAAGCGCAAATCTTGAGAAGCTGAACCAATTTCGCTAATTCTTGTGTAAGAAAAAATAAACTTAAGGTGGATTAAAGTTCGCGGGATCCGGTAGTAACTTCTAATTATAAATAAATATAAATGGTTTGTTATTGTGCATTATTTATTTATTTAAATTTATTGTGCATATTTCGCCGTTTCTAGTGCATATTTTGGCATTTTGATAGTGCATATAATCCGATCCGACTGGCTTGACATTATGTTAGTTATTTAGAAAAGAGTGATAAATAAGAAAGTCAAAATTTGAGCATCGTGTAATGTACTGACTGCGGACTTGTATGTCTACGTCGCGCCGCGCCGCAGGACCAGTGGGCGCCGCCACGACGCATGCGTAGTGGCCCGCGTCGGCCGGCAGCGCGGGCGCCAGGCGCAGCTCGGCGCCGCGCGCACTGACGCGGCCGGCGCCGCCCAGCGCGACGGTGGCGCCGCGCCGCCACCACGATATCGAGCTGCACATTAGAAGCTTGACCTCACTACCCACCGTCTGGTGACTGAGTTAACTTCTCTAACAATATTATAATTTTAATCTCTAAGTATAATTTTAATATTGTGACGTTTCGTACTCTTGATTTTCTCTGGCGTCATATTGCATACATATTGGGTGCATATGAAATTGACTGAATAGTATTGAGTTTGGCTTTGTAATTCGTACAGGTTGTAGTTTTTTGACATTAAAAAATATTAAGGTTTTATTGAATTGGCTTAAAATTGACATTGCGATTAGGTTCAAGAGTAAGCCTGCTTATAGTACACATTGACGTTATAGTATGCGGATATTCCATAATCCATAATAAGCTATAGGTAACTTATTATGGATTGAATAATATCCGTACCTCACGAGTACCAGAACGGTGTACTTCCATGCTCGCAACATGCCAGATAGATGATTCTCGCAAATTGCGAGCATCCACAAACTCAAACTTAAACCCAAAAGCATTTAATTTTATTAAACGGTAATTTGGTACTTTTGAAACGTCAACTAATATAAAAAAATGATAGCCTGTCAGTCGGCCCGTCAGTCCAAAGAGTATAATAAGTATAGGGGATGTCAGTCGCCGCTAGGCGCTCGTTCCAAAATGTAGATTCGAGTGGAGCAAGGAATGGAGTAAAGAAACTCCAATCGTTGCTCTTTTAAAAAAGTCTGTTTTACAATGTCTCTGATACATATTCCAATATTGTACATATATGTGAAAACAATGTAAAGACACGCTTGACGCATAATACAAATTACAGAACTTAATAAATAAAAAACAAAAAAAGAGAAAATAAGTATTTGCTATCTAACATAGTGCTCACATAATATGTATACGATCCATGTAAAATAGTGCTTCTATACAAGAAAAAAATCCTTGTTTCAATAAAGAAAGAAATACTCGATGCCACAAGAAAATTAGATTGCCGTCATCGGAATCAAAGTATTAAATTACCTATTATCCTAATCTGAACTAGGTACTGACTACATTTGAGTATTGTCCAGTGGAGCCGAACCAACACGCTGCCAAGCATATATTCTATCTAAGCTATATATTCTATCTAAGCTTATCTTCAAGATAATCTGTCAGTTTGTAGTAAGCTTGTTTACACAATTCGCGCTTGATATGTTTTAAATATGCTTTCATTAAGATCTAGTATGCTACTTGGTAGATATTTTATTATTACATTTAACGCATAATCCCATGAAGGATTTCTGTACCATGGACAGTCTGAATTGTGGTACAGCTAACTTATTTTTGAACCACCTCAGAGATATAGGTAAGTAATGACGACAAAAACTACCTACCCGTGAGCTCACCAACTATAAACCGAAATCAGCTGGAATAAAATCTTGTGGCAAAACCAGATGTAATTATTTATACTTAATTATAATTTAGAATACTAACCGACGAGTATGCATGAAAATATTGATGACTGTTGATGAAGCGAAAGAGGTATGTAGGAGTCGTAGTAATTGGCGTATATACAATACACTAATACAAGGCCTTAAATGAAAAAGTAGGTATAATATTAGAGAGGAATCATCCTATCAAAATGCACCTCTATGGACCTGATCGGATATCCGGCGTAGGGGCAGTAGATCGTGGCGTTGGCACCGGCGACTACTCGGACTGGGCCCAGCGCTCGAATTGACGGAGGACCTGTGAATATCAAACACGTCAAGTAAATCAGGCCTCATCCCACATTATCGGATATGAATGGTGCATTGCGCGCGAGTACCGTATATGTTGAGCCGCGCGGCGTGCTGCGCGTGGCCGAGCGCGTTGTGCGCGCGGCACGTGTAGCGGCCGCCGTCCGCCGCGCTGGCCGCGCTCACGTTCAGCGTCGACACCACGTCGCCCGACACCGACGTCTCCTCGTGGATGAAGTATCTGCAATTACAACACACACATATGGAATGCAACACTAAATAACAGTGCTTCATGAATGTGAGTCAGGTCCTCCAGTGGGACCCCGACCATTACACTAGAAAAGTACAAACCCTGACTTCTGAACTTTTGAAAGTTTATGCCTACTAACATCGAGGTTATTATTTTTATCGTCTTCTTAAGAGAACTCAAATACTCGCAAGGCTATAAAACACCTACCTACTAAAGCATGACAATGCCACCCGAGATACAACACGTACACATAAGTACAAGTCAACACCTTTGTGAAACCACATTCTTATCCAGTCACTTGTCTATTATCTACTCATAGAAATGGATATTTTGCTTTTTCAAAATACAGTTTGTCTTCTAATGTCGCCAGCGAGCGACACATTAGCCAGGTATGGACATGAATACTATAATATAATTTTGATAAAACTTATTGTTTAGTTTAAAACTCGATCTAGCTTTTTTATTTTACACGCTGACTGCGACTGAAGTATCAGTTAAGTCTCCGATGATTAGTAGTGAAGTAGTAGTTTGTAAGTCGTAATGCGTGAGGGCGACCTGTGCTGGGCGCGGTAGTGGTCGAGCGGCACGTCGTCGAGCAGCCAGTGGAAGCGCGGCGGCGGCGCGCCGGCGGCGGCGCAGCGCAGCGACACCGCGCCGCCCGCGCGCAGCGCCTGCTCGATGAACGTGTACTGCAGCTCCGGCGCCGACTCTACGCATACGTTACATACTTACGTTCAATAGTCACATCCGTGTACCTGACATCTTGGTAAAGTTTCCAAAATTATTTTTCAGGTTGTAAGCTATGCATATATGTGTCCGAGCTACCGTAGGGATAGGGTTCCTATAACTTACTTCGTACCTACTATTTGACAATTTGGCGAGTGACAACTCAAATAAATAATATTTAGGGGACTAAGTATATATATTTGAGTAGCGTTGAAGATTTAGAAAAAGTAAAATTAGTTTTTTTTTCTAATCATTTAGTTTGAGAACCTTAACCTAGACATCTACAAAAATATTGTAGTTCTCGGCGATTGGCGGCGCAACTCAAGACCACGTCTTACTGTTTTTTTTTTTGTTTTAATCTTTATTATTTAGTAACTTTTAACAATATGTTACGCCAGTTCCATTGAATCTTGCGGGAAGCATTTAAGACTTAATTACACAGTAACTAATGATAAACTAATTTAGCCTCTATCGACATTGGTTTGGCAAAGATACTATTAAATACTCCTACATCTAACTTATTAATATTCAGTAAATTGATCAAAATCTTTCTCTCAGAATCATTCCCGACACGCTCCACTAGACGATGGTAGACATCCTCTATTATAACCACCTTTTTCATAAGGAAAGCAAAGACTGTAGTGGTAGGTATGTGTCCGGAGCGTTTCTGATTCTTCTTTCTTAATTCTGAATTCTGAGAGTAGTTTAAGATATTTCTCTTTACTTTAAAATTACAAAACCATGGGACTTGAGAAGGCTCATATTGTATAGTTTTATACCAGATACCTTTAAATTTTGATTTTTCACTAAAGTGTTTCCTATGTAACCTATTCATCATAACAACAGTTTTAAATTTGTCAAGTCTTTCCGAACACTTCTTCCTAGTCGTTTTCTTCATAACTGAACGTGTCTAGTCTGGTGCACGCGTCACGTGATGCACAACCCTCCTCCAAACGCCCCTGTCCTCTGCGGTCTTTATGGCTTGTGGAATTGTCAGGCCGGTTAGGTTTTTTACAGCATCCAATCACCGGGTAGGTGAACGACCACGAGGTCTTCTCCCACCAACAGAAGCCTAAATGGATGCGACAGGACGCTTTTTACTTTCACCACGGTGTTTCCATCCCTGTAAAGATTAGCAATGAGAGCCACAAGGTGTTTCGGTACTCCCATTTCCCCCAGGATTTTCCACAGGCATTCCCATCTTACACAGTCATAGGTCATTGAGTAATTGGGATGTTGAATTCGCGACATTTTTCTATGATTTGCCTGATGTTTGCGATCTGTTCTCTAGTGCCTCATCCTTTCACGAATCCTGCCTGCTCCACTGGAATCTGCCGCTGCAGAAATACCTTAAGATGCTCATTAACTACGCACAGAAGAACCTTACTAACATGAGAAATGAGGGCCACGGTTCTGTAGTTTCTGCAGGACTTCGTAGATCCCTTCTTATGTAGTGGAATCAGTATGGATTCCCTCCACTCCTTAGGCCAGCAGCCAGTCCTCCATATCTGATTGCATAGATTCTGAAGAAAGTTTAGTCTAGAATCACCTATTTGCTTCAGGTCTTCAGCAAATATGGCATCAATTCCGGGTGATTTGTTTGCTTTCAACTTCTTTATAGCAAATTCCACTTCAGACTTCAGAATTTCTGGTTCCAGAGGTATGCTGTTGAAGTTATCCTGGGGGTCCTCCGACGCTGCTGGATCCGCATATAAGGTTTCACAGTACTCTCTCCATCTATTGACCACCCCATCTGTGGCGGTTATTAAACAACCATTTGCGTCCTATACAGCCCAGATTCTTGTTTTCAACTCACGCGTTATTGATTTTATTTTCATGAACCTGGACTGCATATTTCGAATAGGTACCTACACTGGCAAAACATAAATCTCAATATTAGACGACGCTGCTATCTCAGCCAGTCTATGAACCTCCTCGATTATACTGCTCATTAAAAAATAACTTGACCTTGATATAAGATAAGCCACAGAAAAATATTTTGAATAAAAATGCCAATATCTTAATGACTCGCCTCCAAGGCGCAGCTCGGCCGCAGCTTGCGCTGAGAGTGAGGCGCGGCGCGCCACGCACTGGTACACGCCGCGATGCGCGCGCGCCACCCCGCGCAGCACTAGCTCGGCGCCCCCGGCCGCGCCCCCGGCCGCGCCCCCGCTGAGCGCAGCCCCGTTGTGCAGCCACGCGAGCGAGGCGCGCGGGTCGGACGCGCTGCAGTTGAAGCGCGCCGTGCTGCCCGCGTCTGCCACCTGTGCGTGTGTGCGTGCACTCATATAACATAAAGTCAAGTAATTCTAAAACTATTTATAATATACATTTAATAAACTTAAAACAATTTACTACTTATTAATTTAAAATACACTGTTATATAATTAAATTCATTGTTTACGCAACGGTCCTCGTTTCTGTTGCGCCTACGCATTTCCGAACGAGTTAAAAACCAGTTATAGCACCAGCGCTGTCGCGTTATACATATATACTGTCGCGGAGAACCTAACGGGTAACCGGGGCTCCGGCTCGACGTGCAGGAGAAGGAACGGGGTGGTTTTTAGTCAGTGGCGGGAGCAGTCATTCGATGATTTTCCACCCTTAAAAAAAATACATAATATATACTGCGCAAAATATTCCCTAAAGGGTAAACCCATACTGGTTACGACGCCAGCGCAAACCGTTGCTTACTGTCTCTCAACGTAACGCTGTTGCTAGGTTCTTGAATTTTATAATATTATGATATTACCTACACCAAGTTTAACAAGTCGCCGTACCTTTGAATTCGTTTAAATTCTGCTAATTGCATTTAAAGCCAGTGTCGACCCCAGATCGGGGAATTGTTATACATAATGTGTTGTAGAATGACTTGCTTTAACAGTGCGCTCATATTTTTATTTTCTACCTGCTACGATCGCGCTGTTGTGCTGTCTTTGTGGTGTATTAAGGATTTTTAATCATCTTAACGCTTTTAGAAACATATTAATTGGTAATTTACCTCATAGAACCTGTTCACTTTGCCCGTGTCTTGAAGGTCTTACCCTACAAATATTTTCCTACCTCTTCTTTTCTTAGCAATTCTTATTGTGCCTACCTCTTTATTAATTGTATTAACTTCACTGAATAAACTAAAAAAGTGGGTGTTACATTGTACAGTGGTATAATGTGCACATCTGCCTACCCCTTCGGGGATAAAAGTCGTGATGTTATGTAACTTCACTAAATCTAGTACTTTTCGACTAATTTAATGGGTAAACCTTTTCACTTCATTGGGATAGCATTTGTTAGCTGAATTATAAGCTGTCACGCTAATTATAAGCTGTCACGCTGCCTAGCCTTCAAGATCTTTTAAAAACATAAAAACAATGCCTTTATATGTGCTCTTCTCCCGAGTGATGTCAGACCCGACTAAGAGACTACATAATTATGTCATCTAACAAAGACTCTATAATAGACCTAAACGCAATTTCCACGTCGCCTGCGAAGTTTGTATATATGACAAACCCTCTGATAAAGAGAAAATCGATAGTCTAACTGTGGTCTCAACTCACGACTTGTAGTTCAGGGACAGCTTTTCCAGCAGGATATTTTTTTTAGGAGACATCTCTGTAGATGTCTCTAAAAAATGTAATTTATTTAAAAGCATATTAATTAATGTAATGTAATTTACAAGCACAGTGGGCGCGATGACGACGCTGAGCGTGTCATCGTGCACGTGCAGCGTAGTGTGCGCGGTGGCGTCCCCGAACACGTTGTACGCCTTGCAGATCCAGAGCCCGGCCGAGGCGAGCGCGGCGCGCCGCACGCACTGCGCCGCGCCGCCCGCCCACGCCCAGCTGTCCGCCGCCGCCAGTACGGGCTGCAGCCGGCCCTCCCGCTCCCGGTACCACCTGCGTACATCACAATCATTATTATAGTGTAGGTATGAGTATAGTTATGCCAGAATTTTAGTGTAAGTAAATGAATGTATTATAGCTTTCGTGAGACATACTTAATTAATTATTATGTTCTTCAGCTAACTCACGTAATTATTAGACGCGGAACTTGACTAGTTTCAAACCATACTAGAGGCTCATAGTCATGAGAAGACCTGTGACGCGCCGACTGTCGCACTGCTACTTATTAGAAAGAAAGAAAGATAGCCGAAAAACATAATAATTCAGTAAGTAAATGAAATAATAGAACAGTGTTTCTGGGATTGGTAGAGCATTACGTCGAGAAAAAGTAGGAAATTACGTGTATTGCGGTGGAGGATGATCAGACGCGACGCAAGGCAGACATACAGGGTGGCCGGCCTGCACGTTGAGCTCGCCGCCCGCCGCCACCAGTCGCGGCGCGGAGCTGGCGCCGCCCGCTGTACACACAGTGACGTCGGTGAGGGAGCCGGCGGGGCGCAGCAGGGCCGCGGGGACTTGCAGTGCGCACTCACCGGTGACGGACAGCAGCGCGGGGCGCGCGCGTCGCGTGGCGCCGGTGACGTCGTGTCGCGCGAGGCAGCTGTACGCGCCGGCGTCGCTGACGCTCACGTCTCGGATCAGCAGTGTGTTGCCCGCCACTAGGTATCGCGAGCCTGCCATTGTAACCATATCACATAAAGGTTTGTCAAACTTCTAATCTCCAAAAGGCCGGTAAAGCACGTGTAACGCCTCAGGTATTCCAGGTGTCCATGAGCGACGCCGATTGCTTACCATCAGGTGATCCGTCTACGCGTTTACCGGCTCACGCCATAAAAAAAAATTGTCACTTTGAAGCAACTGAACACAAATTGAAACTTTTTTTATAATTATATGGAATGTAGTGGATTATTTGGAAAAAGCAAACTAATTTCTTGTTATTAGCTGGTACTTAAGAAACGTTAGATTGCATAGTACCTGGGGAGGGTGGGTCAAGGTGCAGCACGGTGTCGCCGCGGTACCAGAGCGCGGCGCGCACGTGGTCGGGGTCCCGCGCCCCCGCGGCTCTGCATGTCACGGCCGCCACGCCACCTGCTGCCGCCGCGCCTGCACTCGCCACCGCCTCCCAACTCTCGTCTGGAACTGCAGTCAGTATTGTCACCAGCTGCCATTCATTCACCAACCACTCTCTGGCAACACGCGACGACAGTACAACGCAGTACCTGGGACGAGTGTGACGTCACGTGACACCGCCACGCCGTGCGCGTTGGCGGCGCGGCACCGCACCGTGCTCGATGCCACCTCATACGTGCTTGTCGGCAACATCTCCAGCGTTCCATTACTATATATTTTTCTGTGTGTTCAGCAAAAACAACAATTTTAACGGCTAGGGTTTGCATAAAAAACGTTATCATTAAAATACAAAGCAAAGCAAGACGAACACCCACCGCAACTAAATAAAAATACAATAAATACACAAAAGTAAATAAATTATAAATAAATAAATAAACACTATTGGCACAGTTCGTACAATATTGCCGCGTGGCGCTGATGATTATGTTTCAGTTAAACTAATGAATGTCATCGCAATTAATTTTGAATGTTGGAGCCGTCAGAAAAGGCAGGGTGTACCTAAGGCCAGGCACGTCGTGTAGGATGGAACCGTCGTCCGCCAGCCAGGCGACGCGCGGCAGTGGGTCCCCGCGCGCGCTACAGTGCAACGCGGTACCGGCGCGGGCCGCGTACTGTACGCGTGGCGCCGGCTCCTGCACCAGCGCCGGCGTCAGCATCGCCATCTCCCCGCGCACCACTACCATCACACGACCAGCTATGATTTACTTCATCTACTCGAGAATACAGTTCCATTTCAATTAAGTAACGGCACGGAATCTGGAATTGTATCCTTTCGTTTCTACTTTTTGATGGGGTAGAGGGCAAATTAGCATGCTACACAAATTTAAGAGTAAGATAGCAAAACTGTACTTTTGACACCGTTTGTCCTACAAAAAGTCGTTCCGCAGCAAACGGTAGCTATCGACTGGGATAAAAGGCAGCCGGCGACGAACTGGCCGGCCGCCCGCCGGCACTACCCTGTAGAAGTTGTGCCGTCGCCGCCGGCTCACTGAGTGCTCCTCAAATATATGTATATATTATTCGTAACTTGTGTCACTTCGCCATTTCTACTTTAAACAAAGTTTTGTTTTTCTCGATCATGAGCGAAGCTAAGCGTTGTGTTTACGTCTTTACATTGATGTGGGACAATAAATCAGTATTATTGTGTATTATTATCCCATAGAAACACGGTGTTACGGTAAGCAATCGATGTTGCCCATGTTCGTACTCGCAATACCAGAAGAGTTACAGTTGCTGGGGTGGGTACTCACCATCTACGACACAGTACAGCACCACCATCGCTGGCAGCAACATCACGCTCCCCGCCGCTGTGGGGGGCACAGCAACGCGCCGCGTACTCCGCCCGGCACTACTTCACGTCTGCTTAACACACACACGAATATATTTGTGAGTAAGGAAATGGTCGCACAACGAACTTGCAGAGTCAAAAAGCATTTACTTCAACCCTATAGAATAGTCTGTCGGTCTGTGCGTCAATCTAGGTGCTGTGCAGCGTTACAAGTATATTTTGGTTGCTTGGGCTCTAGTCTTGTGGTCAGTGAATTATTATTAGGCGGTTTTGTCTTGCTAGTCCTGTTGTTAGAGACAAACAAGACCGGCAAACTTTCATAGTAGGTAAAGCAGATCGCCAAATACTGGCCTCGACGGACAAAAATGAAATAATTTCTGTGTGTTTCAAGGACTAATATTAGTATTCAGTCCTGAGTAATTAGTTTCTTGATATAATTCGGGATATATGCCAATTATTTCAGTTAGTTTTTCTATGACTACAGTATGTTACACTAATCTATTAAACTATTACACTGTAGTATTGTATTAGTGCTCCATAAATTAAATATCAGCGATTGGATTGTTTTTTCTTCCAGCTTGTCCCACGACATAGGCCTCCTTCAAATGAAATGGTTTCCATGACTCTCTATCTCTAGCTATGAGGGTCCATTCTGACCCTGCGACTTGTCTAGTTGATACTAGCGCAAACGTTGGGTACCATTCTGTTATTTTCCACTTTTCCTTGGTGTACGGTGCAACCGCACATCGTAAAGCATCGTCAGCATTTGCGCTCCACATTCATTTCATTTTATAATAACAGTTAGTTCACGTCGAGCCATCAAGTCGGGCGTTCTCATTACCGCCGGCAAAGGCCACGTGTTACTCAGTTCACACAAATCAGTTCATTACCTCATTTACCTTTAACTTTGGAACAATACAATAGTTTAGATACATTTAACGTCCTTTATTATATTCTACCCAACATTATCTGAGAGTAGTCTGCGATCAAGCAAGAGATCGTACACTAAGTTTCCCACAACATATACGTCCTGTCCATCGCCACTTTAGTGTTTTACACACTCTAAGTGCAGTTTGTCAATAAATTTTCCTTTTTTATTACATTTGTTCCCGCTTTTATCAGTGTTAGTGATTTTAATACGAGTTGAGATTTACAGAATATTTAATTTAGTTTCCTTAGTTGCATCAGGTAAGGATCAGACATTTTAAAGATTGATATTTTTTATTAATGAATTTCAGTTGTCTCCCTATACGGTCAGTACGTAATGACATCCGTTAATGTAATTCACTTGACAAAATAAAAAAAGAACGATGTGTCTATTGGCTATTACTAAACTTGTTGTGTCATCGTTTCAGTTGACTTCGTTTTTTGAAACATTGCGCCACTCTAGGATTTTGTTCTGTGTCGTGGGTGTATTTACAAACATAAACATGACACCTAGACCCGAAATAACAATTTGTGGATCACACAAACAGTTGCTACGTGTGGAAATCGAACCCGCTACACGTCCCACGGCACCTAGTTGCCTAGCCACCGTGCCCACGGTGCTGTCTATTTTTCCACACTCATTTTCCCACTTCTCCCAGTTATGTTACTATTCCCAGTCAGACCGATGTTATCTCAACTAGATTCTTTTAAATTTTAGTATTCTATCTACACTACAAGGTGTAACACCTACCATCCCACTTCTAAAACCTGCAAAAGCTAAATAATAATTAGGTAATATCACCACCAATAAAATGATAACCATGACCAATGACAATAATAATTCCATCAGCAGTGAACTGCTTGCTAATGGCATTTTTAATTAGAAAATAAATCTTTTATAAACGACGTTTAATAAAACCAACGTCAAACACTTCTTTTTTTGAAGTCGGTTTAAAGTACAAAAACCTTTTCCTAAGTCTAACAAACGCTTTTCTAAAAACCGCATCAAAATCAGTTCACCCAATCACGAGATAATCGCGCACAAACATATATACGTATATACACAACCTTTTTTTCTTGAAGTCGGTTAAAAACGAACGTAGGCTTCAAGAACTTCATTTCTTGAGAATAACAATAAGCTAGATACATATAAAAATGAACACAATACTCGATCCCTGGCTGAATGAAAACAAAAGTAACTGAATGCGATAAATGAATTAAAGTAAACTGAAAATGAATGAATGAAGGAAAACTGTTATCAACTTAGATTATTTTTTCATTGGTGGAATTCTGTCAAAATTGTTGCAGTATGTTTACGTATAGGGATTTGACGTGAATGAACTAACGATACTTTACATAACAGCCGGTAATTTCGACAATGAGGTTGTCTGACTAAACACAAGTGATCTTCATGTGTGTGTGCGAGTCATGCATGTATTATTTTGTGTACATTTTTTGTTCCTGTTTCTTGTCCTCTGTCCTCTGGTCCTCTTGTCCTCAACGAACCTATTCTAATGACATCGTCCAATATGTGTAACTTATGATTTAAAATATAATTTAAACCCTGCTCGCTACTGGCTAATATTTAATAAAGATTTAAATACTGAAACTCGTTTGAAAGGTTAAACTGTATTAAATGCAGGTGATAAATAATGTAAAATTAAATTATAAACATCTTAATATTGTATTTAGATAGAATGTTTAAAACTGTTACCGGAAGTTGTAATATTTTTGTCATTTAATTATTTTCATTAAAAACAATTATTTCTTATGTAAATTAATATTTAAAACAGTGTTTGCGGATGTCTTAATATGTTTGGTTCAACTTTATAATTTAATTAGTAATTAATTGATAAACTGACTTATGTGGGTAGAAAGTATAAAAGGTAAGTACAAGTGACTTTCGAGTCAGTTCTCGTCTGGTTTCGAAGGAGAATACACCAATACTAAGTTAAGTACCAATATTGTTCTTGAAGTTGCTATTTTTGCTATAAGGTTTTTAACAGTAAAGGTAATAAAGCATTTTTGTTATTTTATAATAATATAATGTGTAAGATGTGTGATTGTGATTAAATACATGTTTTAGTGTTAATAGTTTGTGTTTAATAATACTTATGATATGATACAGAACCTATTTTCTTAAATATGAAATATAATTAGCAAAACGTTACTTGTAGTTTGACTTATTAATTTACAATACTTTCTTATTTAGTTAA